CAGGCTACTTCTTCTGACTGCCGGCTGACTGCAATCTGGCAGTTCAAATCTCACCAGGCTCAAGGTGGACTCAGCCTTCCATTCTTCCGAGGCGGATAAAATGAGGACCCCAAATTGTTGGGGGCCATATGATTCTGTAAATCACTTACAGAGGGCTGTAAAGAGCTGTAAAGCGGTATATAAATCTAAGTGCTATTGCTATTGTCCTTCCTTCCCTCTCTCCCTCCTTCCTTCCTTCCTTCCTTCCCTCTGCCAGCATGTCTAAGTGCTATTGCTCTTCCTTTTCCCCTTCCTTCCTTCCTCCCTCCCTCCCTCCCTCCCTCGCTTCCGCCAGCAGGTCTAAGTGCTATTGCTCTTCCTTTTTCCCTCCCTCCCTCCCTCCCTCCCTCTCTCCCTCAGTGCACAGTGGTTAGAATGCAGCATTTCAGGCTAACCGCCCACTGCCAGGAGTTCGATCCTGACCGGTTCAAGGTTGACTCAGCCTCCCATCCTTCCGAGGTGGGTAAAATGAGGACCCAGATTGTTGGGGGCAAAGAGGCTGACTCTGTAAACTGCTTAGAGAGGGCTATAAAAGCCCTGTGAAGCGGTATGTAGGTCTTAAGTGCTCTTCCTATTGCTATGACAATTCACCATGGCCAACTCGCATGACCAACGTGCCACAGCCAACTCCCCATGGCCATCTTGCCACTGGACAACTCACTGCAGGGCAAGAGTTACACTAATATCAAATGGATGTGAAGGCGATCTGACTGCGACATCTGTCATCCCATTGATCGATCGCCAGGGTTGACTTGGCTGATCCGGCTGGCTAGGCAAGTGTCCCCTTCCTCCCTCACCGCTCCATATGTGTCCTTCCCAAAGCTGCGCACTCGGTGGAAGAGGACGACCGTCCCAGATAGAAGGAGTGTACCGATCTTCAGTCAAGGGTACATGATAGCACTAATATCAAAGAAATGGTGGAATAGAATCATTAAGGAAAGGATGCAAAAAGAGGGACAGAACAAAATATGAATGGCAAAAATTAAAATATGTTTTTATTTATTTTAAATAATGAAATAGAACTGTTAGAATCGTATCCTTACGATTTGTATTGATACGGTTTCCTGATTGCTTATTTGTACTCTATGTCTATCATTAAGTGTTGTACCTTATGATTCTTGACGAATGCATCTTTTCTTTTATGTACCCTGAGAGCGTGTGCACCAAAGACAAATTCCTTGTGTGTCCAATCACACTTGGCCAATAAAGAATTCTATTCTATTCTATTCTATTCTACTCTACTCTACTCTACTCTACTCTACTCTACTCTACTCTACTCTACTCTACTCTACTCCACTCCACTCCACTCCACTCCACTCCACTCCACTCCACTCCACTCCATTCTTTCCTAATTCTCTTCTCTTCCTCCTCTTCTTTTCTTCTATCTGTTCTGTTCTGTTCTGTTCTGATCTATTCTGTTCTGTTATGTTGTCCCTTGGCGAGTTGGCTGCAATGAGTTGGCCATGGGCACAGCAAGTTGGCCCTGGCACGTTGTCCCATTCCCCCTGATGTAGCAAGTATAATGGTCGTCTATGAGTAGAAAGGCCCAATTAAAAACCCAATGGGCCCAGTAGGCTAATGAAATCACTGCTTCTCATTTCCCCCTCAATTTATTTCTCGGGCTTGTTTGTGAGTTTTAAAATAATAATGTGGAGGAGAGGAACTTCTTAAGCAAAGACAGAATGTCCAAGGGGGGGGGGGAACCGTTCTGCAGACTTGGAGCTGTGAACGGAACTCAGTGTCCGGAAGAGAATCCTAGCCTTCATTTCAGGAAGGGATTAAAAATCTGGTATCTAGGTGTGAAGTCAGGGTGGGACCGAATGAGCTGTTGAAAGCCAAGAGAGCAAAAACATTTCCTGCTTTTCTTGGAGAGAGAGAGAGGGAGAGAGAGAGATTCTGTTTTTCCTTTTTATTTCTTCCAATGAAGCCATTCACCCTGGGAGATTTATAATAAGGCTTACTTCATACTACGTCAGGGTACCATTGTTAACCTGGTTGCAACTCTTTTTAAGCCTTTTCTATCTTTTTAAAAAAAAAAAATTAATAGGATCTTTTTGGAATCAAACCTGAAGCAGTGTTGCAGAGCTCCAGTTGACCATTTAACAGCCTGCATCTGCAAAAAAATAATAATAAATCTTCAGCTTGCAGTCTTCGTGTGAAAGCCGATCAATCAGATATTTGTTCAAGTTACAAAGTAGTGGCTCAGATACGAAACTGGTGCTATAAGTCTTCTTTTTTGGGGGGGCAATGTCCCGAAACCACTCCATAAATAAAATAAATCTTTTCCCCAAGGCTTGCTGATGCTCCAGTGTTGTCACTATTTTTGTTTAATGGCTGACTTTATGGAGCTTCTCTTGGGAACTTGACAGCTCTACCACGGAGATGCCTTCCGTGACGAACACTGTGTGTCATGCTCTTCTAGAGCCAATCTCAGAAAAAAAAAAAACTTTTCTCTGAGCAAACAGATTGTTTTAGAACAAGGTGGGTACCTCTTAGAACAGTGATGGTGAAACTTTTCAGCACCGAGTGCCGGCACCGAGTTGCTGTGGCCTGCCAGCGGCCTGCGTGGATTGTGGCTGATCCCAACGACAAGGAGGCTGATATAGTGTTGCGCCAGCAGCCTGTGCAGCCGGCGCTCGAGTCGGACAGCGAGGAGGCTGAAGAGGATGTGGTGCCAGAGGCAGAGACTCAGCCTGGGCCTTCAGAACCTCCAGAGGCTCCTTCAAGTGAAGAGAGTGAAGTGGAGGAGCCTCTCCTCAATGCTCGAGCATGCAGGGCTGCCAAAAGGCAGGAGTGGCTACTCAGGAGGAGGTCACCTCGAGAGTAAGGCTTGGGGTTAATTGGCCACTCCCTTAGCCTATTTAAGTTCGCACACAGATAGCAAATGTTGCTGGAAACAACGCTTGGTCCTACGCAGAGCATTTTGAGAGTGTCTCTATAATTCATAGCAGGCTGATAAAGACATTTGTGGTTAAAGCCTGCATTTTGAAAGGGGTCTGTTTGTATTAAACGGAGTTTTTGGAGCTGTGTGTGTGCTACACTTCTTGGGACCCGTAGCTGGGGCAGAACATGAGTGCTGAAAAGGTTGCAAGGAAACGTTGCACACGTGCTCGTCAGGACCATGCTCCGAAAAAGCTGAACTTCCAGGTTCTAGCATGCATGTGTGTCCGATGGTGCTGGCTGCCGCGCATGCACAGGCCGGTTTCCGGCACTGCTGCACGCGCGAAGGGATCCTGCTCTAGAACATCCGAACTCCCAGGTTCTGGCACGCATGCACGCCCGATGATCAGCTGGCTGCCGTGCATGCACAGGCCGGTTTTCGGCACAACTGAGCGCGCAAAGGGATCGTGCTCCGGAAAAGTTAAACTTTCAGGTTCTGGCGCACATGCGCACACGACAATCAGCTGGCTGCCATGCATGCGCGTGCCGGTTTTCAGCACTGCCGCGTCCCCTTTTGTGACTTTCTGACCAGCCAAGTCAATGGGGAAGCCAGATTCACTTAATGTTCTGCCCCAGCTACGGACCCCAAAGAACGCAGCACACACAAAGTCCATTCAAACCTTAGTTTACTAAATAAACCAGTTTTTTACAACAACGGCTGTTAATTAACTGCATTAACAGCCGCCAAGAATTCAAAGAATAATAACTGAAAGCTTACTGTGGTTGGCAGAATGCCCAGAAGCAATTTGCAGGAAGCTGATAAGATAAGACGACACGAAGGTATGTGAACGAAGTTGTTCCCTGCAAATTGCTTCAGTCGGTGTTCCTCCTTAAATAGGCTAAGAGAGTGGCCAATTAGCTCCAAGTCTTACTCTCGAGGAGACTTCCTCCTGAGGAGCCACTCCTGCCTTTTGGCAGCTATGCGCGCCTGTGCATCGAGAAGAGGCTTCTCCTCTTCGTCCTCTTCACTTATGGGAGGTTCTGAAGGCCCTGGGTGAATCCCCACCTTTGGCACCACATCTTCTCCAGCCTCCTCATTGTCTGACTCGAGTGCCAGCTGCACAGGCTGCTGGCGCATCACCACACCAGCCTCCTCGCTGTCTGAGTCAGCTATTAGCTGCACAGGCCGCTGACGGGCCACAACACTTAACAACCAGGTTACTAACTTAACAATTACATGGGTTCACTTAACAAATGAGGCAAGAAAGGTGGTCAAATGGAGCAAAACTCACTTAACAAATGTTAATAACATAAATTTGGGGGCCAGTTGTGGTCGTAAGTCAAGGACTACCTGTAATATGCCCTCTGGAACGAGCTGCCCCCGGAGATACGGAGGATTCCGGATTTACGTACTTTCCGCCGTGCCCTCAAGACTTTTTTATTTCAACAAGCCGGGCTGGCCTAACTTCTCCAATTGCTTAATTTTAATTTGAATTTTAAAAGGGGTATTTTAATTGTTGGGCCAAAATTGTTTAATATGTTTTTTAAACTGTTCTTAAATTTTTGTACTCTGTGTGTTTACCTTTGGCTGTTCACCGCCCTGAGTCCTTTGGGAGAAGGGCGGTATATAAATTTAAATAAATAAATAAATAAAATAAAATATACTACCTGTATATACGTAGCTGGTCCTTGACTTATGACCACCATTGAGCCCAAACTTTCCATTGCTAAGTAAGACATTTATTAGGTGAGGGTTTTTGCCCATTTTACAGTTGTTAAGTGAATCACGATAGTTATTAAATTAGTAATAACTTAATTAAGTGAATGTGATTTTCCCATTGACTTTGGTTGTCAGAAGGTCGCAAATGGGGATCACATGACCCCGGGACACTGCAACCGTCGTAAGTACATGCCAGTTGCCAAGCATCCAAATTTTGATGACCTGATCATGCTGCAGCCAATCATAAGTGTGAAAAATGGTAATTTTTTTCCCAGTGTTTGTTGCAACTTTGAATGGTCACTTAAATGAATGGTCATAAGTCAAGGACTACCTGTAACTGTATTGCTTCTCTCTCTTATAGCCCAAGTGGGGAAAACATCCTTGATCATGGCTCTGGTGGGGGAGGAGTTCCCTGAAGAGGTGAGTACAGGTGGCTGTTTGTTGCTGTTATTCTGCCTTATTATCTTATTCTTATTCTTGTAGCATTGAAACTTTCCCATTGCAATTTATAAGCAGGACAAACAATGTAAAGAAAAGTGCACTATGACATACAAAGGGACGCGGTGGCTCAGTGGCTAAGACGCTGAGCTTGTCAATCGAAAGATCGGCAGTTCAGCGGTTTGAATCCCTAGTGCCGCTTAACAGGGTGAGCTCCCGTGACTTGTCTCAGCTTCTGCCAAGCTAGCAGTTCGAAAGCACGTAAAAAAAGGCAAGTAGAAAAATAGGGACCACCTTTGGTGGGAAGGTAACAGCATTCCGTGCGCCTTTGGCGTTGAGTCATGCCGGCCACATGACCACGGAGACGTCTTCGGACAGCGCTGTCTCTTCAGCTTTGAAACGGAGATGAGCACCACCCCCTAGAGTCGGGAACAACTAGCACATATGTGCGTGGGGAACCTTTACCTTTATGACATACAAGCAATGAAGAAATCTCAAGGATCCTTCTTGCCGGACAGTAATGACTCTTGATGGTGGTTTTTGTTTTGTCAACTATTTTGAAATCTTCGGCCAAATTGTTTAATTCGGTTTTATTCTGTTTTTAAATTTTGTATTTATGTGTTTTTATCTTGTGGCTGTTCACCACCCTGAGCCCTTCGGGAGTAGGGCGGTATACAAATCAAATGAACTAAACTAAACTAAACTAAACTAGAGTGCTGTACATGAGGAAAGTACCCAAATAAATTCAGACAAGCCTTTATCGTCTGAGTTATGCCAGAGATAACCCTTTTCTCCCCTCAGGTTCCTTCTCGGGCCGAAGAGATCATCATTCCTGCAGATGTCACTCCTGAGAAAGTCCCCACCCACATTGTAGATTATTCAGGTAGGTCACGGGTATAACTATTCTTTTTTTTTTAAATTGATTTTACAACAACAACACAACATACAAAACACAAACACACAGTTTGTGTTTCTTTTTACGTATCAGTTTCATTCCTCTACATTTCCCATTTTTCTCATCCTTTATTATCTTTATCGTCCCTTTATTTCCAGTTTTATTCATTTACAGTATTTCACACATTTGTCACATCACTTATTCACTTTTACTTTCCCTAATCTCGAGCCAGTCGTACCACTTAATCCATACTTGATAATAATCTGTATCTTCCTTTTCTTTTATTTCTTTTCGTTCATTTATCCATCTCCGCACAGTCCAGGATTTTCTTAATTGTTTCTTCCTCTGTTGGTACCTTTTCGTTTTTCCAGGACTGTGCGTAGACTATCCTTTGCCGCTGTAATTATATGCAAAATCAAATATCTAATTTCTTTACTGTAGGTTCTGTTCAATATCCCCAGTAAAAAAGTCTCTGGTTTCAAATCCACATTGTAACCAATTATCTCTTCTATCCAACTTCTAATTTTAGCCCAATATTTTTTCGCCTTAGGACATGTCCACCAGAGATGGTAATATGTTCCGGGAACTTTTTTTACATTTCCAACAATTTGGAGAGTTGTTAGGAGACATTTTAGCAAGCTGTACTGGTGTAAAATGCCATTTGTAGAACATTTTTAACTGGTTTTCCTATACGGGTATAACTATTCTAATAGCAAATCCTTTATAAAAGTTACTGCATTACATTCTTGATTAAATTATCTTTCCATTGATATATAATTGTACGGTATTACTCCCAAAATAAAAAGTGGTGTTATTAGCTAGTTTTAGAAAGTACACTTTTCCCAAAAGGTTTCCACAATTTTGGCCCATGCTGTATGGTGGATAGGATGCTTCTCACTTTGCATATGTCTGAAAGATTGCATGTCCCTTTTGTTTCTCCTTTTAGAAGCCGAACAGACGGAAGATGAGCTCCAAGAAGAGATTGCCAAGGTGATCTGAGGTCTGGAGGGGTGGGCTGGACCTGGAGAGCTCCCCTCCCTCTCTTTGCCTTCCTGATCCTGGACACCAAAACACTTCCCAAATCCCACCGAAAGCCTGGTGGGAATTAACCTGATCCGTTTATCTTTGTTTCATTTGTGCTGGTCAGCAGTAGCGCTATGGGGGTTTAACCTACCAGCTTAAGAGAGAACCAGGTGTCAGGTTTCGATGCTATCTCAAAATAAATGAATTTCCAAACTGCCGATCTTTGAGGAAATTTTCTCTTTATTGAGCATAGTGATCTGTCCCTGGCTCTTTCACGGTCAGCACTGACCTTTGCCCCCCAAGCCCTCCCTTTCCGATCCCCAATTCTCTGCGTCTCATTGGCTATCTTCCAAGCCACTCTCCTCATCCCATCTCCGTCAGATCACAGGACTGTCCCTCCCCCTCCTCCCATCTCCGAGGAAACAGAATCTTCAAAGGAATTAAGTAGGCAAAAGTTCAAGCTTCTTCTCTCCTTTAATATGTCAGCGCTGGAACGCTGACACCAGGCAGGAGAAGACTGGGGGGAGTTAGCAGGCCCAGAAGTTCCTACCTCTTTGCAGAGAGCATGGATCACTTAGCTTCAGCAGGGTTACCATATATGCAGCTGTGTTGCCGTGGGAGGCGATGTCATAAAGCACAATGAACATTTCAGTTGCAAAGGGGGACATAACTCCCTGCAGATGGAGAAAAAGAAAGAAGAGGGACTCGACCAGTGGTGGAATTCAAATTTCCTTACTACCAGTTCTGTGGGCGTGGCTTGGTGGGCGTGGCAGGGAAAGGATACTGCAAAATCTCCATTCCCACCCCACTCCTAGGGAAGGATATTGTAAAATCTCCATTCCCACCCCACTCGGGGGACAGCCAGAGGTGGTATTTGCCGGTTCTCTGAACTACTCAAAATTTTCGCTACCGGTTTTCCAGAACCTGCTGAATAGCATCCCTGGGCTTGACCTATATTCCGAAGGCAGGCGAAGCAGCAATGGGTGGAAATTAATCAAGGAGAGAAGCAACCTAGAACTAAGGAGAAATTTCCTGACAGAACAATCAACCAGTGGAACGACTTGCCTCCAGAAATTTTGAATGCTCCAAGAAGAGACTGGATAACCAATTTGTCTGAAATGATATAGGTTCCTGCTTGAGTGGGCGGGTTAGACTGGAAGACCTCCAAGGTCCCTTCCAACTCTATTATTCTGAGAAGCAGCATATTAGAGAGTAAGATCTCAGTTTTGGCCCCACTAGATGGATCAGGCCAAGAATCTCAACTCCAGAGGAAGGCTAAAACTACTTTTATTGAGATCGGCAACAGTAACAAGATCTTGCAAGTTTGATTGCTCTGTGCCCCCTCTTCCTTCTTGTGTTCCCTATGCATCGGGGAGGAAAGTGTTCGGACATCTTCCAAGTGTTATCTCACATTTTTGGGATTTTTTTTTAAAAATGGCCCCTTTTACCTGGGTAAAAGTTCCTCCATATTTCTGTCAAGGTCATCTTTCTACACTCAGCAGAACTGTCTCTTTGCCATGCTGGTAGTCCTAAATGGAGGGCATTGTTGAAATGTGCCAACTCACTAGAGCAGTGCATCAAATGTATAATTAGCTCTTGTCGATGGTGCTAAAACCAACATTGGGATGCAAGTTCTTGGCAACAAAAATAATCTGGAGAGGAGCTTTGAGATGGAGATTTCCATGTGTGTCAACCAGGGGTGAAATCCTCCCGGTTTGAACCGGATCAGGCGATCCGGTAGCGATTGTGGCAGGTGGTTCGGAGAACCGGTAGTGATGGCGGTGCGAGGCTCCGCCCACCCACCTGTGTGTCCTTACTTCCTGGTTTTAACCAGGAAGTAATGTGTTTTTTACGGCGAGCTCACGGTGTAAGAGCTCACGGCGCATGTTCTTCTGAACCGATAAGGACGGTAAGTAGATTTCACCCCTGGTATCAACTCTGAATCAAACCTGGCTGAAGCCATCTTTTGCTGCTTCATAGTTGCCATGCACTTTGGGGGGGGGGGGGAGGGAAGTAAATAGGCTGGCTCGCAGACATAACAAAAGAGTTCTCCCATGGGAACCAAGGTCATCCCAACAGGTGGCAGTTGAAGGAGGAAAGGAGTGAGCAAGGAACCCGCCAACTGTTTTTAATTGGACAGTGTGATTTGTGACACTTGGGAAGGGAAACCGTTACTCTTTTAATTCTGCTATCGCGGGAAACTTTCAGAGTTGGTTTTCACTAGCTATGCTGATACGATGTATCCAATAAACAGCGACTCGGGAGTAAGGCTTGGAGATGATTGGGCCCTCCCATAAGACATAAAGGTCTCCGGAGCAAAGGGACATGAGCCTTTGCAGGAAGCAACTTTGTTCGTTTTGGTCAGTTTAAACTCTGAAGCTCCGTTTTGACTGTGCTCCGTTTGGCCTTGCTAAGCTAGTTGGCAATTAGTTCTTTGGCAGTGTTTCTATCAGCCTGATCCCGAAAGACTGTGGCAGACTTGTGTCGAACTATTCACAAACTGCTTGGGACTCATTACGGGCTGTGAATGAACAGAATTCACAGCCGTCTCAATAAAAGGTTTTTTGGGAACTAAAATTGTGATTTATGTTTTCTCAGGAAGCCTAGGTCAGAACACTTCCCGCCTCGGGAGTTCTGATTTCTTTGGATGCGTTACTTGGAACCCTGACATTAAACCAACTCTGAAAGTTTCCCGCGATTATAGCATAATGTGTTCATTAGAGCTGACAATGCGTTTGTTAGAGCTCTCTCCCACTTTTCTCCCTTGCAGGCCAACGTGGTATGCATGGTCTATGATGTCACAGAGGAGGCCACCATTGACAAGGTAACCCCAGTGGGCCTCTTAGCTGCCCATCCGCAAGTCCCCCATTGTACTGCTTCTCCCTGCTTTGACTTTCCTAGGCAAGGCCCTATGAATGTCCATGACTTCTTCTCAGTATCTCATGACATTTCTTTGAAGGGCATCTACTGCATTGGATGGGGGTGGATCTCGGCTGGAGCTGGTGGGAAAAGACTTGGGTGTCGTCTCCTCAAGGGCTTATTTCTTAAAAATTGGGGAATGAGTTAGGGGTGCAGGGATTCTCTTGCCTACTTGCTTTTTCCCTTCCTTGCTTCCCTAGATTCGGACAAAATGGATTCCAATGGTGAATGGTGGCATTGAGAGGTGTGCCAGGTATCTATTATCCTACAGGGTGGGTCAGGATGCTTTTGGATCTTGTGGGTCTCTGTTAATAATTCCCTTTGGGGTGGCTGCTCAGTGGCGCAGCAGCTTCTGGACACTGGATTTGTCGGCCAGTGAACCCTTCTCCCCATGCCATCCCACCCCACCCCACCTCCAGAGGAGAGGGATGGATGATGAGAGATGAAAGAGAGATTGTGGATGGAAGATAGATAGAGAGAGAGAGAGAGAGAGAGAGAGACAGACAGACAGACAGACAGACAGACTGATTGACTGATAGATTGATAGACTGGATAGAGAAAGAGATGAGAGAGAGATTATGGATGGATGATAGATAGAGATAGACTGATAGATTGATAGCCTGGATAGAGAAAGAGAGAGAGATGAGAGTGAGATGATGAATGATAGAATTGATACATATGAGAAAGAGAGAGAGAGGAGATTATGGATGGATGATAGGTAGGTAGGTAGGTAGACAGACAGACAGACTGATAGATTGATAGACTGGATAGATGAGAGAGAGATGATGGATGGATGATAGAGAGAATTGATACATATGAGAGAGAGAGAGATTATGGATGGATGATAGGTAGGTAGGTAGGTAGACAGACAGACAGACTGATAGATTGATAGACTGGATAGATGAGAGAGAGATGATGGATGGATGATAGAGAGAATTGATACATATGAGAGAGAGAGGTGATGGATGGATGAGAGAGAGAGAGAGAGAGAGAGAGAGAGAGAGAGAGAGAGAGAGAGGCTGATAGATTCATAGCCTGGATAGAGAAAGAGAGAGAGATGAGAGAGAGATGATGAATGATAGAATTGATACATATGAGAAAGAGAGAGAGAGAGATTATGGATGGATGATAGGTAGGTAGGTAGGTAGACAGACAGACAGACAGATAGATTGATAGACTGGATAGATAGAGATGATGGATGGATGATAGAGAGAATTGATACATATGAGAGAGATGATGGATGGATGATAGAGAGAGAGAGACTGATAGATTGATAGACTGGATAGAGAGAGATGAGAGAGAGAGATGATGGATGGATGGATGATAGATGGATGGATGGATGGATGGATGGATGGATTTTCTGCCGCTTTAACTACAGCCTCTCCCATCCTTGATATGTCTCTCCCAAATGTTTCTTCTTTCCAAGGATCCCCATCATTCTTGTGGGAAACAAGTCCGACCTGCACACCGGGAGCTCCATGGAAACCATCCTGCCCATCATGAACCAGTTCTCTGAGATCGAGACCTGCGTGGAGGTCAGGAACTGTCCAGATGTTGGCAGGGAAATAGTACATACCTTTGATTTGGGGTGACGGAAAACTCCTTTATTGACAGGTCCACAACACCCCTGGGCCACGGCCCATTATTCCGGAGGGGAGGAGGGGGAAATGGGACAACTTCACACAGCCAACTTTCTGCGGCCAATTCACCATGGCCCACTTGCCTTGGGCACAGCTCGCTGCAGGACAATTGAGCAATTCTATTTCAGCATTTAAAATAAATAAAGGTTTTAATTTTTGCCATTCGCATTTCACTCTGTCCCTCCTTTAATGATTCTATGCCACCGTTTCTTTGATATTAGTGTAACTCTTGTCCCGTACCAAGTTGTCTTGTGGCAAGATGGCCATGTGGCGGGTTGGCTATGGCGAATTGTCGTAGACCACACTACCAAGCCTTGAGCTGTTCGGAACCAGGCTGTGGAAGTGGCAGGCAAGGGTCTGCATGTTTGTTCCATTGGTGTGAGCGGCGTGCGTGCATGCCCACCGGTTCTGCAAACGGAGTTGCGTGTGTGCCCACCACTCACATGGAACCAGGGGTGGGCTGCTGTGGGTTTGCAGGGTTTTTTTTTTTTTTTTAATTTAATTTATATGCCGCCCTTCTCCGGAGACTCAGGGCGGCTTACAATGCGTTAAGCAATAGCCTTCATCCTTTTGTATATTTATACAAAGTCAGCTTATTGCCCCCACAATCTGGGTCCTCAATTTACCTACCTTTGAAAGGATGGAAGGCTGAGTCAACCTTGAGCCTGGCGAGATTCGAACCTGCAGTAATTGCAGACAGCTGGTCTTAATAACAGGGTGCTTTAGACCATTGTACTACCAAGGCCCTTCGGGAGAACCTCTAGCTAAGATTCTGTGCAGTTTGGAGAACCCCCAAATCCCATTCCTGGCTGGGCCCACACACCCCACCCCTCCCAGGAGTCCCCACCCAGCTCGTTTTGGATGCAGGTAAGTGCAGGGTGTGTGCAGAGGCTCTGAGAGGGCGAAAAACGGACCTACTGAAGGCCTGGACGTTTCCAACCTCCAGAGGGCCTCCGGTGCCTGGGGAGACTGTTTTCGCCCTCCCAGAGGCTCGAGGAAACCCTCAGAGCCGGGAGAGGGCAAAAACGCCACGCCCCGTGGTGCAGGAGGCCAACTAGGCCACGCCCACCATGGCCACGGCCGCCCAGCAACTGGGCAGAGAATCCTGTGCTAAAATTTTTGAAGCCCTGCGTGGAGCCATCCCTTCTGGAGCCATCCCTTCTCCCCCCACTCCAACGGGCCGCAAAGCCGGAAAGTTTGAGGAACTCTGAGAGTTGAACTGGAAACACGTCCACTGATTTAGCGGTAGCACTATTTTGCATCTAAAAGACCCCATATTTAGGCCACTGACTCCTCAGCTTTTTTTCCTTTCTGATGATACCACATCAACATTTTTCTTTCAGTGGGAATTGGAAGGAAAGAGGCTTCGCTTTTAGTCTCTTTAATTTGAGCCTGTTTTTATAGCCAGCCTCAGAAGGAGAACTTTGAGTGTCGTTTCAGTAGGTCTGTTTTATTTACCTAGGAGCAAATGAATCAGCTTCTCTTTCCCTCTTTCCACACCAGTGTTCAGCAAAGAACCTGAAAAACATTTCTGAGCTCTTCTACTATGCCCAGAAAGCTGTTCTTCATCCAACTGCCCCTCTCTATGATCCAGAGGAGAAACAGGTAAACATCTGCCTGATAATGTTGCAAGAATAGAATAGAAGAGAGTAGAGTAGGAATAGAATAGAATAGAATAGAATAGAATAGAATAGAATAGAATAGAATAGAATAGAATAGAATAGAATATTGGAATAAAGAGTAGAATGGAATAATATTGGAATGGAGAATAGAAAATTGGAATGAATGGAATAGAATAGAATATTGGAATGAAGAATGGAATGGAATGGAATAGAATATTGGAATGAAGAATAGAATAGAATAGAATAGAATAGAATAGAATAGAATAGAATAGAATAGAATAGAATAGAATACAACAGAACAGAATAGAACAGAACAGAATTCTTCATTGGCCAAATGTGATTGGACACACAAGGAATTTGTCTTTGGTGCATGTGCTCTCAGTGTACATAAAGAAAAAAATAAAATATATTCGTCAAGACTCATAAGATACAACAATGATAGTTATTAGGATACTAATAAGCAATCAAATCATACTAGGAAACAATAAAAACTATGTAAGTCATAAAGATACAAGCAGCACGGATAGAGCCATAAGTGATAAGAGATAGGTACAAATAAGGATGAGGAGAAGAATAGTAATACAGTCTTAGTAGTTAATTTGACAGTGTTGAGGGAATTAGTTGTTTAGCAGAGTGATGGCATTCAGGAAAAAACTGTCCGTGTAGTATAGTAAGAGCAGGCAGGCCTGGAATCCGTTTAGACAAGCTTGCATGAAATTCTGGTAAGTAAATTTCATGAAAGAAAAATGAAAATGAGTGTATTGGCATCTACTTCATATTCCCTCTCTTTAAAATTGCACCTCTTTTGTTTTTTGCTTCTGTCCGTTTCAGTTAAGGCCAGCATGCGCCCAAGCGCTCACTCGTATTTTCACCATGTCCGATCAGGATAACAATCAGATCCTAAGTGATGAAGAACTGAACTATTTCCAGGTACCGTGTTGTTGTCAATGGGGGTTAGTGGTGGTGGGGAAGAAGCTGGAAATCTTTTGTGTATTCTCGGAGCATCAAGAGAGCCTCAGATCCTTATGCTTTCAATAGGCATAGATTGGGCAGATAGTCCTCAACTTACGACCACAATTGAGCCCAAAAATTTCTGTTGCTAAGCAGAACATTTCTTTAAGTGAGTTTTGCCCCATGTTACCAACTTCCTTGCCACAGTTGTTAAGTGAATCACTGCAGTTGTCTTTTGACTGTATTGGTTACATTATTAAAAGGGACTGTTTTAAACTTCTTTTTTTTTTTTTTTTTTTTTATTGAAAAGGTTTTCAAATACAAATTTTTCCCCCTTTTCCCCCCCCCTCCCTAACCCCCCCTCCCCACCCTTCCCCCCCTGTGACTTCTTCGTAACAAAAAAAAACCCTAATTCATAACAGATTACTTACTCCCTCCTCAAAATACTGACCTTTACTTACTAAAAGTATTATAAATCCCCCTTTATCCATACATTTCAGAAAAGAAGAAGAGAAAAAAAACAAAAAACAAACACATTATACTATAACTATTATAAAATAACTTCTAATTTAGCATAATAGTGTTTTATATCTATACATTATTGCAACAATTCAAAACCACCTTCCACTTTAAGACTATACGATAAGTCCTACTTTAGTAACATTTCAAAGCGGGCTCCCCATAAAATCTAATTTAACATTTATTCCACTCTATCCATTTCCTCCACTCCCCTAAATGTATCACTTAAAAATCCCTTTTCTTAAACTAATCAGTCTGTAGCTAGCTTATTCACCCACTGTCTTACAAATTTACCATACACAACAATTCTTGATATCTTTAATTCACTGCCCACACTACTTAAAAATATATATATATATATATTCCATTATGTCTAAATAAAAAAAGAAAAGACAATAACTTTAAATTTATAGTCCATATAATATCTTCTTGTAGTCTTTCCACTGGATTGTTAAAGCCAACATCCATAATAGGGTAACATAGCTTGCTGATGCAACAGTTTATTCAAGATCTCCAATCATATCTGCCCCCATCAGTAGTAAACATCTTCTTATATATATAAAAGTAAAAACAACCACCCGAGTGACATTATAATTATATTCCATATAATAATAATAGTGGGTTTCATCAGGATTATTAATTTCCATCATCGTATTGGGTAACAACCCGATCTTCTGCATGTCCCAATGTGATTCTCTTGCCTTATAGTTCAAGATAATTATAATATATTTATCAACACAAAAAGAAGTTTCAAAGTAGATAATTCAAAACCATCAATTTGAGGCTCTTTCCATGTCCCAAAATTACGGCAATGCAGAGATCTGCCACTATCCTCAGGATGATATTGACCAATATGTCGCCTCCTCTATGTTTTCACATAATCATTCATATTTTAAAATCACTGGCTTCACTGTTGCTTGGATTAGAAATTTCTATTTTTGTACAACCTATTTCTTTTTTTGTTTTCTTTTTGTGGGTTTGACTTCCATCCTAATTTTTTGTGTCTCGCATTTCTTTTTTATCCCTTGTATATCCTCTAATTGGTTTCCATGCTTGTCCTTGCCTTGATAAGTCATCACATTAAAATCAGATGGCACTTCTCTCAAATTTGTAGATAATCCAGCTGGGGTATCCGATAAATCCAAAGGCAATTTATCTGGTACAGTCTCTGTCTTTAGTTCCAGCTCCTTCTGCTTATCCTGTATTATATCTGAAGACGTTAAATTCATTTTCAACCTATTTTGATAAAATTCTTCCGCTCTTTCAACAGTATTTAACTGGTATCTTTCTCCTTGATATCTCAATATAATACCAACTGGGACATCCCACCGGAATTGAATATTTCTCCTTTTTAACTCAGACACCAGAAAGCCAAATTTCTTCCTTTCCATTAATATCTTAGGTGGGAGTTCCTTGTAAATCCAAATCTTTCTTCCATACAATTGCAAATTAGAATTGAAGGAATTTTGCACAATTTTATTCCTAATTTCTTTATCTGAAAAATAAATTACCACATCTCTAGGCAATTGCCTTTGCTTGGCAGTCCAGGAGTTTATTCGATAAGCTCTATCAATCCTACAAAACACTTCCTCAGGTTGAATCTTTAAAATCCCAGCTAGAAATTCAGAAGATATTTTCCTTAAGTCATCTCTGTTATTTTCCTGCAAACCTCTAAGTCTTATTGCATATTCTGTGAAATTATATTGTATCTTTAGAACCTCTTTTTCAATCCTCTGTTGCAGATTTTCTACATTACCAGACTTTTGGTCAGCATCCATTTTAAATTTTTCTTCTGAACTATAATCCTGAATATTTAACAAATCATTTTCAATTTTTTGAATTCTATTGTCCAATTTATCTTGAATTTCATCCATTTTTGACTCTAGTAAATTAGTATTTGTATCCAACCGAATCATGAATTCTGACACTTTTAAAATTTTTTGCTGCAGAAAGTCAAACTTGGATTTCACCAATTCCTTAGTTTCCTGCTTAAATTTTTCAAGTTGCTGATTCACAATCTCATCCCTTCTTTCAATCTCCTCTAAGAGAAATTCTATTATATTAAAATCAGGTTTCTGGGACTGAAGAGTTAAAACTTGTTCCTTTAAATTCTTAGTGGGGGAATCCCCCCCACCTATTTGTTTGTCTGGCTTCACAAGCCTCAGTGCCATGTTTCCGCCTAAGCAGGCTTTGTTAGAAGAAAAAAAAAAAAAACAAGACAAAAGACTTCCAGCCAGCAAGAATCAGGCCTCCAGGGGAAAAAGAGAAAAACAAAAACAGGAGCGGAGTTTTGTCTACAAATGTAGCCAGTGGTATTTATTCCGCTACATTGTAATAATAAAAAACGGAAGAACTTTCCCTCTCAAACTCTTCTCCAGCCGCGGCAGACGCCATTTTAAAAAGAAACTTTTTTCCTCTTTCTCTTCCTCTATTCTCTTAAGTAATTTTTAAAAGATAAGTAAAATACTTGCGCTTCAGTATTACAGGTCCAGCTCACATTTTCTTTGAGTAATCTGTCAAATTCGCAGGCTTGCTTTTGACGCCTGGCTCTGCATTAGCAGAGGTCTCCCAAAGCCCGGAGCAGCGGCTGGGGATATGGGGCATCTCATCCGCTCCATCCCAAAAGTAAAAGAAAAACTTTTGGGACTCTGCAGAGAGTTCTACCCACCCCTGCCGGCTCTATCTCCGTTTCCTCATGGGAACGGAGTTTTTTCGAGCCGCCGTTCCGTTGTGAAGGCGGCTCTGACAGGCAGTGGAAGCTGACGATCCCAAAGGAACGTCTGGCGGCGGCCAGCAGCAAACAGGGACTGTTTTAAACTTCTTAAACGGCGAATTCCTGCTCAATCCTGTAAGTTTCTACGCCATTTGGCTAAACTTAAATGCAAGATTGCCTGCGAACATGTGAAGATTACGTTTTACGCAAAGTGTATTCTTGTTCTGCCTCAGCTACGGACCCCAAAGAACGCAGCACATACAAAGTCTGTACAAACCTTAGTTTACTAAAATAAAATCAGTATTTTTTTTTCAAATAAAGGCTGTTAATTAAACTTTCTTAACAGCCTGCAAGAATCCAAAGAATAAATAATCTTAATTTTACTATGGTTGGCAGAAAGACCAGAAGCAATTTGCAAAGAACTAAGATCAAGGCACGAAGGAGAGTGAACTAAGTTGTTCCTTGCAAATTGCTTCAGTCAGCGTTCCTCCTTAAATAGGCTAAGGGAGTGGCCAATTAGCCCCAAACTTTACTCTCGAGGAGACCTCCTCCTGAGGAGCCACTCCTGCCTTTTGGCAGCTCTACGCACCCGTACATCGAAAAGAGGCTCCTCTTCACTTATGGGAAGGCCCTGGCTGAATCCCCGCCTCTGGCACCACATCTTCTCCAGCCTCCTCATTGTCCGACTCAAGTGCCAGCTGCACAGGCTGCTGGCGCAGCACCACACCAGCCTCCTCGCTGTCCGAATCAGCCACCAGCTGCACAGGCCGAGTACGGGCCACAACAATTCTCAGAACATCTGTTGGCACCAAATCTGATGCCCCCAACTGGATATGTTGACATTTGTAACATCAAGGGAGCTTCAGGTCCTTATGCTTTCTATAGGCATAGTCCTTTAATAGCAGTACAGATAGTCCTTGACTTATGACCACAATTGAGCCCAGAATTTCTGTTGCTAAGCAGAAGATATGTTTTAAGTGAGTTTTGCTCCATGTTACGATCTTTCTTGCCACAGTTGTTAAGTGAATCACTGTGCTTGGTAAGTTAGTAACATGGTCGTTAAGCGGATCTGGGCTCCCTCATTGACTTTGCTCATCAGAAGGTTGCAAAAGGGGATCGTTGGGACCCCGGGACACAGCAACCGTCGTAAGTGTGAGCCAGTTGCCAAGCATCTGGATTTTGATCACATGATCACGGGGAGGCCGCAGTGGTCGTAAGTTTGAACAACGGTCATAAGTTGTGGCTTCGAACAGTCATTCAATGACCTGCTGTAAATGAATGACTACCTTGTTTCTCCTAAAATAAGACACCCCCTGATAATAAGCCCAATCGGGCTTTTGAGCGCATGGAAATAAGGCCAAGCACTTATTTCAGGGTTCAAAAAAATATAAGACAGGGTCTTATTTTCGGGGAAACACGGTATCTATCTATCTATCTACCCTGTTTTCCCCAAAATAAGACATCCCCTGATAATAAGCCCAATCGGGCTTTTGAGCACATAGCAATAAGGCCAAGCGCTTTTTTCAGGGTTAAAAAAAATATATAAAACAGGGTCTTATTTTTGGAGAAACACAGTATCTGCATTCCAGATCTGAAAGCAATTTCCAGACATCACTTGATTCCTCAGTCATTGACTTTGAGAGAATTTGGAATATGCTGAGCCGAATATGGAACATCCCATCTTTCCAACAGCAGCTGAGCTGTTACCTTCTCTCTGAGTCAATCTGATGCTTCTATTTGTTCTTTATGGATAGACCTGTCCAAAGATCGTATTCAGCCGGTTCGGACCAATTCAAACGAACTGGTAGCGGCAACTGCCCGGCGTAATGCCGTCCTATTTAGCCATGTTTTCGAGGCTGAGCGCATGCGCGGAAGACACACGCACACGAGCAGAGCGAACATGCGCGCGGGGGGCAAATTGGTGGTAAGAATATGTAAAACCCACCGCTGGACCTGTCCCATTTTGTGACTGATCTCCTTGCTTTTCTTGGGAAGTAGAAGTCCTGCTTTGGAAACCCGTTGGCTCCTCAGGCTCTGGAAGATGTAAAAATGGTGGTGTGGAAGAACACAACAGATGGTGTCCAGGACAATGGCCTTACACTCAACGGTAAGTCCAAGCAATCCGCTCCTCTTTAGCTGGCCCTGGAAATGGTATTTAAAAAAGGATATTGAGACTCTAGAAATAGAGTGCAGGGAAAGCAACAAGGATGACGGAAGGCTAAAACATATGAGGAACGGTTGCAGGAATTGGGTATGTCTGGTTTAATGAAAAGAAAGAGTAAGGATGATATGGTAGCAATGTTCCAATATTTGAGGGCCTGCCACAAAGAAGAGGGGAGGCAACTAATGGTGGGTTGCCCCCGGTTCGGACCAGTTTGCAAGAACCGGTAGTAAAACCAGCGGGAGGCTCCGCCCACCGACCCCGATATCATCAGGATACTTCTGCACATGTGCAGAAGTGTGCACGAGCGAAGCAAGCGCACACGCGCCACCCAGTTGCAAACCGGTAGTAAAGGTAAGTAGAACCCACCCCTGGAGTCAACCTATTCTCCAAAGCACCCCAAGGCAGAAGCAATGGGTGGAAACTAATCAAGGAGAGAAGCAACCTTAGAACTAAGGAGAAATTTCCTGCCAGTTGAAATTAATCAGTGGAACAACTTGCCACCAGAAGTTGTGGGTGCTCCAACACTGGAGGTTTTGAAGAAGAGATTGGACAACCGCTTGTCTGACATGGTATCATGTGTCGGGCAGGTGTCAGCAACCTGTGGCTCTGGAGCCGCATGCGGCTCTTGGGGCCCTCTGCTGTGGCTCCCTGTTGGGTGATCCCACCACTGGCTGGGCCTGCCCCTCGCCCTCCGCCAGTCACTCCTTGCCTGGCCTGAGAAGGTAAGGGTGAACAGTGGGAGATGGAGAAGCAGCCAGGTAGACACAGAGAGAGAAAACGGGGGAGGGAGGGGAGAGAGAGAGATGTCAAAAGGATTTTGTGGTCTCCTGTTGTTTCGATGAAGAAAGACGCGTAGGCAGGATGATGATTCACTGGAAGGCCCCTCGGTGTGAAGGTACCTTGGGGAAGGCACACTCACCCCATCCAGAAGGCTTCCTTTTATTGTCATTTTACAACTCATGGCAAAACATCAATCAATGTTTACTTGTCCTGATTGGCTAAAGAAAGCTCGTGAATTCCATGTGGATCCCTCGTGTTTCCCTCATGTTATTTCCTGTGACAAACAATTGCCTACGTGTTGGGCCCCCATGCCTTGTATATCTGAGATAAGGTCTCTGCCAGACATCCTGTCTTTACATTCCTGAGGAGATTAAGACTTTATGTTAATGTTGTTACTCAGCACGGTTTGCCGATTACTGAGATAACAGCATCTCCACAGTCTCCAATCTTTTTTAACAACCGGTTCTCTGCCCTAATGACCGTCTTAAATAAGCATGGCTAGGGAGTCATGTGAACGGTGGAAGTGAGTGACATCGAGTTGGCCACGCCCACCCAGATTTTGTGGCTCCCGGTGTTTTCTTTTCTGTGGGAAACGGGTCCAAATGGCTCTTTGGGTGTTTAAGGTTGCAGACCCCTGGTATAGGGTCTCCTGCTTGAGCAGAGGGTTGGACTAGAAGTCCTCCAAGGCCTCTTCTATCTCTGTTATTCTGTTGTGTTCTGTTTTGTTGAGGTTGAGAAGTCTCAAAGCTGTCCCTATGGGGTAGCTTGGCTGTAGCTGCCTCCTCTGAATGATATTCTTGTGCCTGCCCACTTGTCTCTCCCCAGGCTTCCTCTTCCTCAACACCCTCTTCATCCAGAGAGGGCGTCACGAGACTACATGGACCATTCTCCGCCGCTTTGGCTATGACGATGCCCTGGAGCTGACCGATGACTATCTCTGCCCAGTGTGAGTCAGCCTGAACTCTCCTGGATTTTTAGGTTCCTGTAAAAGAGAGGCAAGGCATGCGGTGTCTCAGTGGCCAAGACGCTGAGCTTGTCGATCGAAAAGTTGGCAGTTCAGCAGTTCGAATCCCTAGTACCATGTAACAGGGTGAGCTCCTGTGACTTGTCCCAGCTTCTGCCAACCTAGCAGTTCGAAAGCACATAAAAAAATGCAAGTAGAAAAATAGGGACCACCTTTGGTGGGAAGGGAACAGTGTTCCGTGCGCCTTTGGTGTTGAGTCATGCCGGCCACATGAGCACAGAGACGTCTTCGGACAGCGCTGGCTCTTCGGCTTTGAAACGGAGATGAGCACCGCCCCCTAGAATCAGGAACGACTAGCACATATGTGCGAGGGGAACCTTTACCTTTACCTTAAAAGAGAGGCAGTGCAGGAAGCGCAACGGTGGCGCAGTGGTTAGAGTGCAGTACTGCAGGCTACTTCTGCTGACTGCTGGCTGCATGCAGTTTGGCAGTTCGAATTTCACTAGGCTCAAGATTAGACTCAGCCTTCTGAGGCTGGTAAATGAGGACCCAGATCGTTGGGGGCAAGAGGCTGACTCTGTAAACCGCTTAGAGAGGGCTGTAAAAGAACTGTGAAACGGTATATAAGTCTAAGTGCTACTGCTGTAGTTGATTGGTTAGAATGTGGTATTGCAGGCTAACTCTGCCCACTGCCAGCAGTTCGATCCTAATCGGTTCAAGGTTGACTCAGCCTTCCATCCTTCCGAGGTGGGTAAAATGAGGACCCAGATTGTTGGGGGCAAGAGGCTGACTCTGTCAACTGCTTAGAGAAGGCTGTAAAAGCACTGTGAAGTGGTATATAAGTCTAAGTGCTATTGCTACTGCTAGTACTCGACTTACAACAATTCATTTAGTGACTGTTCAAAGTTACGACGGCACTGAGAAAAGGGACTGATGACCATTTTTCAGTTACAAGCTTTGCAGCATATCTCCATGGTCATGTGATCAAAATTCAGATGCTTGGCAACTGCTTCATATTTATGACCGTTGCAGTGTCCCGGTGTCATGTGATCCTCTTTTGTGACCTTCGGACAAGCAAAAACAATGAGAAAGCCAGATTCACTTAACAACCGTGTTACCAATTTAACAACTGCAGTGATTCAGCAATGGTGGCAAGAAAGTTCATAAAACGGGGGCAAAACTCACTTAACAAAAGTCTCGCTTACCCACAAAAATGTTGGGGTTCAGCTTTTGTGTCTGAATTTTAACCCCTGATCATGGGGATGCTGCAATGGTCGTAAGTGTGAAAAACGGCCACAAGTCACATTTTTCAGTGCCATCGTAACTTTGAATGGTGACTCAATGAGTTATAACTCGAGGACTACCCTTATTGCATTGCAATGCAGGGGTTTTTTTTATGTCTCGGGGTGGCTAATGGTTTGCAATAGTTGGAAAAATTCATTGGACTGCAGATGCTACCTTAAATTTTAACTCTGATCTCCTTCAGGATCCGGGTACCCCAGGACTGTTCCACAGAACTCAACCACTTCGGGTATCAATTCCTGCAACGGATGTTTGAGAAACACGACAAGGTAAGCAGCGAGCAGAACATCTTCGTTGCGTGTCGTGCGCTTTTCCCTCGCGTAGGGGCTGCATAATGGTTGAATCCCATATCTTGTCAGCGACCGGATCGCCAGTTCTGGCAAAGCGGTTGCTAGAGATGCCAGGAAAAGTCTTCGTCATTCAAATTATTTCTTTATTTTGTTTGTTTGTCAAACATGTACAAGATAGCAGATATAAATATAAACATGGACATGTGTTGTGACCCAGGCCCAAGTAGTTAGTATTAAAAACAAACAGTTCAAAAACAAACAGACTTTATTAGAACAGCTGAGAATTAACTCATTCTCAGCGTAGTCCAAACTAAATTAAAGCAAATTCTTCAAAACACCGTTCCTCAGTTTATCACCGACCTTGGGATAATTAGGCAAACTGCCAAAGGCTTTTCTTGGCAAAAGTTCAAGAAGCAGAAGACGCCGACAAGAAATGAATACAGTGAAACAAGAAGCAATTCTCTCAACATTGTTTTCCGGCAAGGAGGCCAAGAGCCATTGCTGGTCTTTTAAGCCCTATGGGAGGGGCCAATCATATCTTGGCCCTACTCCCGAGTCGTCCTCTCTGCTTTATCTGCTCCTGCCTTCTGGCAGCTCTTCTCATACGTGCACTAGGAACAGACTCCTCCTGTTCCTCTGCCTCTCTGCTGTCCACCTCTGGACAGGTCACTCATGCCCTCGTCACCTCCCGTCTGGACTACTGTAATGCTCTCTACATGGGGCTCCCCTTGAGGAGCACTCGGAGGCTCCAACTGGCGCAGAGTGCGGCCGCGCGGGTGGTGATGGGAGCGACATGGCGCTCCCATGTAACGCCTCTCCTGCGCGAGCTGCACTGGCTCCCGGTGGTCTTCCGAGTGCGCTTCAAGGTTTTGGTCATCACCTTTAGAGCGCTCCATGGTTTAGGACCTGGTTATTTACGGGACCGCCTGCTACCACCAATAGCCTCCCACCGACCAGTACGCTCCCATAGAGAGGGGCTCCTCCGGGTGCCGTCGGCCAAACAATGTCGACTGGCGGCCCCCAGGGGGAGAGCCTTCTCTGTGGGGGCACCTACTATCTGGAACGAGCTCCCCCCGGAGATACAGAGGATCCCGGATCTGCGTACCTTCCGTCGCACGCTTAAGACGTTCCTATTCCAGCAAGCCGGCCTGACCTAAACTTTTCCTCTTTTAAATGGGAATTTTAAATTTGGTTTTAAATTATTGGGGTTTTAAATACGGTTCAGCCAAATTTATTTAATCTGTTTTATCTCTATTTTAAATTTTGTATTTATATGTTTTATTTTATGGCTGTTCACCGCCCTGAGTCCTTCGGGAGTAGGGCGGTATACAAATGTAATAAAATGTAAATGTAATGTAAATGGAGGCTTCGGAGTCCGCACCTCACTCCCCGATGGCCCTGGCCCCATCTCTGCCTCCGACGCAGAGCCCTCATCCGGGCCTTCCCCAGCCTCCAGGCCTGGCCCATGTTCTTCCTCAGCCTGCGGAGCTAATTAATGAGTTAATTCTCAGCTGTTCTAATAAAGCCTGTTTCTTTTGGAACTATTTGCGTGTAATACTACCTACTTGGGCCTGGGTCACAACACAGAGGCCCTCTCGGGCTGCTGCAGGCATGGTGGTCTTGTCGTCTGTAGCAAGGGAGAGGCTAAGGGCAAGAGCACAGCACCCTAATCACTTTGGTAGCTGAGGTTTTTGAAGAAGCAGAGGGCTTCTCGGGCTGCTGTAGGCATGGTGGTCTTGTCGGTAGCAAAGGAAAATCTAAGGGCAAGGTTTTGTAACTGAAGTTATCGAAGAAGCAGAGGCCTTCTCAGGCTGCTGTAGGCATGGTGGTCTTGTTGTCTGTAGCAAGGGAGAGCTGCCATTCAGGGCCTGTTTCTGTCCTCTGGCTTGTAGGATCGTGACGGCGCCCTCTCGCCCGTCGAGCTGCAGAACTTCTTTGGTGTGTTCCCCTACATCCCCTGGGGACCTGAGCTCTACCACACGGTATGCACCACAGATAAAGGCCTGCTTTCCCTGCATGGATTCCTCTGCCAGTGGACGTAAGCGCAGCCTCTCTCTGCCTCCCGTCAGACCACTTCTCCTCCCTTCCCTGGGTGGCTTGGTCCTATAACAGATGTGCTTCTTTTTCTGTGCTTGGATTTTCCCCAGGCTGGTTGCCTACCTGGATGTCCATCGCTGCTTAGAATACTTGGGCTACCTGGGGTACTCCATCTTCTCTCAGCAGGACTCTCAGATTTACGCCATCACAGGTAAATCACCTCCTGAACCCCTCCTCTTTCTGAACTCAGGTGCGGTTAGCACAGTGGTCACCAACTGGTGGTCTGTGGACCACTGATGGTCCGTGAGAATTTTGGTGGTCCGCAGAAAAATTACTTGCATTTTTGATCTTGCACTAAATCAGGGGTCCTCAAAATAAGGGGCAGATACGTGCAATGAACGTTTGTGTTGCTGCAGAGAGTTTCCCTCTTCAGGGTCTTTTTGTGTGAGTCAGAGGGGGGCAAAAATTCCGACTTGGGGTCTGCTTCAGCCTCTTGGTGTGGAGCTTTGGGTGAAGGCTGGAAGGAAGCACCACTGGTGGTTCATTTACTCCCCGTTCCATGTTACAGCAGCACTGAAAAAAATGGCTTCTGTTTTTCACACTTATCCATTGCAGCATCCCCATAGTCATGAGATCAGATTTCAGATGCTTAGCAACTGATTCGTATTTATGACGGTTGCGGTGTCCTGGGGTTGTGTGATCCGCTTTTGCGACCTTCTGACAAGCAAAATCAACGGGGAAGCCAGATTCACTTAACAGCCGTGTGACTAACTTAGCAATTGCAGTGATTCACTTAACAACCGTGGCAAGAAAGGTCGTAAAATGGGGCAAAATTCACTTAACGACTGCCCCGCTTAACAGAACATTTGGGCTTGATTGTGGTCTTAAATTGAACTACGTGTGCAGCCATCATTTAGTGGCTGTTCAAAGTTACATAAGCACCAAAAATGATGACTTACGACCAGTCCTTGCAGTTACGACCATCCTGCAGCATCCCCATGGTCACATGATCAAAATTTGACACTGACATGTATTTACGATGGTTGCAGCTTCCCGGGGTCACGTGATCCCCATTTGCAACCTCCCCAGCCAACTTCTAACAAAGCTAAATAAAATGGGGGGGGACCTGGATTCACTTAACGACCGTGTGGCTCGCTTAACGACTGCAGTGAGCTCGCTTCGCAACCATGGCAGAAAGGTCATAAAATCAGACACAACTCTTTTAAACACCTTGCCTAGCAGTCGAAATTCTGGGGCCCCGTTGTGGTCGTAAATTGAGGACTACCTATAGCATGGGGGAACTGGAGACAGTCACCCCCTCCTCAGATCTGGCCAAAACCTCCAGAATGAATCCGCTGTCTGGAATTAAGATCACCTCCTCCTGCTTCCTGCAAAAAGGCAAGAAGGAAGCAGAAAGGAAATTGAGAAGATATTCTGACCAAGGCTTCCTGAGTCGGTAACAATCACACGCTTAGTCCCAAAAACCTTTTTATTTCAACAGCTGTGAATTCTCTTCATTCACAGTCTGTAATGAGTCCCAAGCAGTTTGTGAATAATCCGACAGAAGTCTGCCACAGTCTTTTGGGATAAGGCTGATAAGCACCCACCTTTATCTCCCTTGAAACGTTGCCAAATACTTAATTGCCAATTAGCTCTGCAAGGCCAAACGGAGCACAGAGTCAAAAGGAGCGTCAAAGTTTAAACCGACCAGAACGAACAAAGTTGCTTCCTGCAAAGGCTCTTGTGCCTTTGCTCCACCTTTATGTCTTATGCCCAATCATCTCCAAGCCTTACTCCCGAGTCGCCCCTTTTGTTCTAATTGTTCTTGCCTTCTGGCAGCTATGCTCATGCACGCACTGGGAACAGGCTCCCCCTGTTCCTCTGCCTCACTGATGTTAGACTCTGGAGGCTCTGGAGTCAGCACATAACTCCCAGATGGCCCTGGCCCCATCTCTGCCTTGGACGCAGAGCCCTTGTCTGAGCCTTCCCCAGACTCCATGACTGGTCCATATTCCTCCCCAGCCTCCTCACTGTCCGACTCTGCTGCCAGCTCTGCAAGGCCGCCGGCGGATCACAACAGGAGGCAGGAAGGAAAGGCCTCTTCCTTTAGCATCCTTCCTCATCCACCTCTCCATTTTTGTTACAGTCACCCGGGAAAAAAAGATTGATTTGGAGAAAGGCCAGACTCACCGGAATGTCTTCCTGTGCAAAGTGATTGGGTCTCGGGGATCTGGCAAGTCCGCTTTCCTGCAGGCCTTTCTAGGGAAGAATGTGGGGGTAAGTTCCTGACGAATTTAGTCCCCCGTTCAGATCAAAACAAATCCTGCAGTTCAGTTCAAGACGAGTACAGAATCAAGGTGAGCTTTGATGGTTGATCTCAAGTGGTCCCAAGTCAGGGTTTCTCAACCTCGGCAACCTTAAGCATTGCTGGCTGGGGAATTCTGGGAGTTGAAGTCCACACATCTTAAAGTTGGGCAGGGTGAGAAATAGCGATCTAGAGTCCCAAGCAAGCTATTTCAGATGGATAATATAGCGTTAGCACTTAGACATATATACCACTTCACAGTGCTTTGCAGCCCTCTCTATAAATGGTTTAGAATCAGCCTCTTGCCCCCCCCCCCTCAAATGAGCTGGGTCCTCATTTTACCCATCTTGGAAGGATGGAAAGCTGAGTCAACCTTGAGCTGGTCAGGATCGAACTCCTGCCAGTGGGCAGAGTTTGCCTGCAATACCGCATTCTAACCACTGCGCCACCAGGGTTCCTAATGTAACATCCAATCAACTACAGCAATAGCAATAGCACTTAGACTTATATACTGCTTCACAGTGCTTTTACAGCCCTCTCTAAGCGGTATACAGAGTCAGCCTCTTACCCCCAACAATCTGGGTCCTCATTTTACCCACCTCGGAAGGATGGAAGGCTGAGTCAACCTTGAGCATGGTGAGATTCGAACTGCCAAATTGCCGGCAGTCAGCAGAAGCAGCCTGCAGTACTGCACTTTAACCACTGCACCACCATGGCTCTTATACCACATTGCTGCCATCCCAGCTTGTTAGATGGCAAGTGGACTTGAACCTGGCCCTTCCCATTCCTAGCCCATTGCCTTAACCACAGTTCAATGCTGGCTTTTTCGATATGTAAATCCTTGGAATTTTGGGGGTAGTGATTTCTTAGGATGTTTTAATTGAGGCTCAGTTTTTCTCCAAATTATTCCAGATTGTAGCTTATCCTTTCTTCTCCTTAATGTGAAGGGGTGGGGTGTTTCTGGACTACTAAACCTAAAGTCTAAGAATTCTCAATTTTCAGGATTGTTGAAATGGCATTCCCAAGTATTAGAATTAGAATTCTTTATTGGCCAAGTGTGATTGGACACACAAGGAATTTGTCTTTGGTGCAGATGCTCTCAGTGTACATAAAAGAAAAGATACATTCGTCAAGAATCATAAGGTACAACACTTAATGATAGTCAAGGTTACTAATAAGCTATCAAATCGTACTAGGAAACAAATAAAAACAATATAATTGAAAGATACAAGAAACATGGTTATAGTAATAAGTGGGTATCTAGACAGTATCAGATTAGAAGCAATATGCAATCATCGATTTCCTTCCTTCCTTCCTTCCTTCCCTCCCTTCCTCCCTCCCTCCTTTCCTCCCTCCCTTTTACATTAAAATTAATCTTCCTTCCTTCTTTTACATAAAAATCAATCTTCCTTCCTTCCTCATCAAAATCAATCTTCCTCCTCCCTTCCTTTTATCTCAAAATCAATCTCCTTTCTTTTATATCAAAATCAATCTTCCTTCCTTTCTTCCTCATCAAAATCATCCTCCCTCCCTCTCTTCCTGTTCCAGGTCCAAAGTGAATCTGAAGAAAACAAATCATCCTATTCAATTAATACCGTGCTGGTCAATGGACAGGAAAAGCATTTAATTGTAAGTGCGATCTATTAATTCATTTAAAAAAAAAATCCCTGATGCATTGGATGGGTGAACCTGTGTTTAATTCAGAAAGAATATGAATCTCCCCTGCATTTTTTCTGCAGCTGCACGAAATTGAAGCCGATGTGGAATTTGCAAAGGCCTCTGACACAACGTGTGATGTTGCCTGCTTCTTGTATGATGTGACAGACCTCAAGTCTTTTAATTACTGTGCTAATATTTATAAGGTGAGTTTTTCTACTTGGCTGGTCTCAGAAGCAGTAGGTCTCCAAACTCTGATGCTAAAATTTAATTAATTTTAAGTTTTCTTGCCTTTCCCTTTTAAATTTTCTGTTCTGTTTTTATGCTTCTAGTTTTTTTTATTGTACACCACTCAAGAGTCCTTCCTTGAGAATGATTGGTGGTTCTTACGTAACGATATGGATGGATGGACAGACAGAGACAGACAGACAGACAGACATAGAGATAGATAGATAGATAGATAGATAGATAGATAGATAGATAGATAGATAGATAGATAGATAGATAGATAGATAGATGTTAGATAGATAGATAGGTAGATATTAGAAAATAGATTGTAGATATATGAGCTTGTGTGATGTGTGTGTAGATTAGGGGTGAAATCCAGCAGGTTCTGACAGGTTTTGGAGAACCGGTAGCAGAAATATTGAGTAGTTCGGAGAACTGGCAAATACCACCTCTGGCTGGCCCCAGAGTGGGGTGGAATGGAGATTTTGCAATATTGTTCCCCCAGCAGTGGGGAGGGAATGGTGATTTTGCAGTATCCTTCCTCTGCCACACCCACAAGCCACGCCCACAGAACCGGTAGTAAAAAAAATTGGATTTCACCACTGGCGTAGATAGATATGATAGATGATAGATAGATGTAGATAGAGAGATAGAAGAGAGATAATAGTGAGAGAGATAATAGCAAGAGAGAGAAAGAGATAGAGATAGTAGAGAGAGAGGAAACTAGATAGATGATGGATGGATGGATAGATAGGTAGGTAGGATAAGAGAGGTAATAGGTAATAAGAGATAGATAGATAGATAGATAGATAGATAGATAGATAGATAGATAGATAGATAGATAGATAGATAGATAGATAGATAGATAGATAGATAGGATAAGATAGATAGGATAGATAGATAGGATAAGATAGATAGGATAGTAGGTAGGTAGGTAGGTAGGTAGATAGATAGATAGATAGATAGATAATAATAGATAGATAGATAGATAGATAGATAGATAGATAGATAGATAGATAATAGAGACAGAGAGACAGATAAATAGATAGAGGTTAGAGAGAGAGACAGCTCTTTGATATTATCCTTTTTCTCTTTCCTCCTTTCTCCTCTCCACCCTATCCATGGAGCTTTTTTTGCTTTTTTAATTTGGAAAAGGAAACATTAGCCAAGGGTTTCCATGTAGAAAAGATGCGTGAAGAAAAAAGAAAAAAGAAATGTTTTAGGAAAGTTGGTCATTGTCTGAGGCGCCTTCCTAACTGAAGCCATAGTCTGAATCTTCTTTAGCCATTTTCACTGCTGTGTTTTAGTGGCACGTCCTCTTTAACTTCTTAATTTGGCTCTCGAAAGTCATCCTTGCATTATCCCGACTCCTTTGTCTTAACAATTTCGAGTCCAATTGCTCTCTTTTTTTAGTTAGCATTCTTTGGATGCTTCCTTTTAATTTCTTTCCATCCTCCCCGTCTAGCCTCCCCCATCTATAGTTAATCTTAGTTTTGTGATTTGCCTTGTGGTGATTGATGACTGCAATAAGGACGGGGGATGATAGTTAAAGGATTGCTTAATAAATAAACATCAAAAAATTGGAAATGTGACTTCAACTGCTCTTCCCGGAGGGGTTCTTCAAAAAGTCTTGGCTAAAAGTTTGATTCCCTCTCCTACAACCAACCCACCTAACAATGGACAATCCTGAACAGGATTCGAACCTCACACAGCATTCACTGTATAAATGGAGCATAATAGCCTCCCCTCGGTGTGACTGTGGGGTCCCACGTCAAACTGTAGACCACATCATGACCGGCTGCAATCTGTGGACATATATAGTCCTTGACTTACAACAGCTCCTTTAGTTGACTGTTCAAAGTTACGACGACACTGAAAAAAGTGATTTATCGCTTAGACCAGGGGTCTGCAACCTTACATACTCAAAGAGCCATTTGGATCCGTTTCCCACAGAAAAGAAAACACCAGGAGCCACAAAACCTGGTGGGCGTGGCCAACTCACTGTCACTCACTTCCAACAGTCACATGACACCACCCCCCAGCCACGCCTACCCAGCTGGTCATTAAGGCAGAGAACCAGTTGTTAAAAAACACCGGGAACCACAAAATCCTTTTGACAACTCTTTCTCTCCTCTCCCTCACCCCTCCCTCTCTCTATGTCTCTCTCTCCCCTCCCCTATCTCTGTATCTCTCTGTCTCTGCCCTGGCTGCTTCTCTATCCCCCGCCGTCACCCTTACCTTCTCAGGCCAGGCGAAGAGTGACTGGGAGGGGAGGGCGAGGAGGGGCCCAGCCAGTGGTGGGATCACCCAACAGGGAGCCACAGCAAAGGGCCCAAAGAGCCGCATGCGGCTCCGGAGCCACAGGTTACTGATCCCTGACTTAGACCATTGCAGCATCCCCATGGTTCTGTGATTTACATTCAGATGCATGGCAACTGGTTCATATTTAGGATGGTTGCAGTGTCCCTGGTGTTGTGGCCGGCCAGCAGAGCTGGCAGCAGATTCGGACAGAGAGGAGTTTGGGGAGGAACATGAGCCAGTCTGGGGAGGGCTCTGTGTCGGAGGCAGAGAGGAGGCCGTCTGACAGTTATCAGCTGCCTTCGGAGTCAGACATCAGTGAGGCAGAGGAACAGCTGGAGCCTGTTCCCAGTGTGCGCATGCGCAGAGTTGCCAGACGAAGGGAACAGCTGAAGAACAAGGGTCGACTCAGGAGTAAGGCCACAGGTGGACGATGAATGGCCCCTCCCAGAGGGAATAAAAGAGGAGCGAAAGGGGAGGGGAGTTTGCAGGAGACAATTAGTTCGCTTAATTGGTTCGTGACTCCTGGCCAAATTTTGAAGATATCGGCCTGGCAGCTCTCCAAGCCAGCTAAGGTCTGTGACTGTGAATTCTCCCTTGAAAGACTTTGCTGGCTGTGAATGAGAGGAATTCACAGTCACTTAATAAAAAGGGGTTTTTGTTGGGACAAGGAGTCTGCTTCGTGGTTTGGGAAAGCCTAGGTCAGAACACCGGAGTCCTGTGATCCCTTTTTGTGACCTTTTGACAAGCGAAGTCAATGGAGAAGCTGGATTCACTTAACAAGCGTGTTACTAATTCAATAGCTGCGGGGATTCACTTAACAAAAGTGGCAAGAAAAGGTCGTAAAATGGGGCAAAACTCGCTTAACAAATGTCTCACTCAGCCACATAAAATTCTGGGCTCAAATTGTGGTCCTAAGTCGAGGGTTCCTATACCAGCCCAGTATCTTGATTTTTTTTTTTCACAGAAACAATTCTGGGTTTTTATGGTTAGCTGGTGTAGACATTTGTGTTTTTAACACTCGTTTTGTACTCATAACACTCAAAAACACACTTGTACTGTGTTTTTAATCTAGGTGCAATGTTAATTATATATTGCAAGTAAATGTACAGATAGTCCTCTACTTACAACAGTTCGTTTAGTGACAAAAGTGACTTATGACCAGGGGTGAAATGTAAAATTTGTTACTACCAGTTCTGTGGGCGTGGCTTGGTGGTGGTGGGGTAATGTGACTGGGTGGGCGTGGCCAACTTTTTTTTTTTTTTAACTTTTCAAAGCATTTTTTCTAATGCTTTGAAAAGCCTCTGCCAATTAGGCAACTCAGCTGGGATCATCAGAGACTTTTCAAAGCATTTTTTTTACCACCTCTTGGGCCATGAGGTTGCAGAAAAAAATGCTTTGAAAAGCCTCTGACGATCCCAGCTGAGCCATGCGATCATCAGAGGCTTTTTTTTTTAACTTTTCAAAGCATTTTTTTGTCGGAAGAGGTTGTAGAAAATATGCTTTTAAAAGTAAAAAAAAAACCCTCTGATGATCGTGCGGCTCAGCTGGGCATGGCGGGTGGGGGCGCAGGGATTTTTGCTACCGGTTCTCCGAACCACCCGCCGCCATCGCTACCGGATCGGGCGATCCGGTCCGAACTGGGAGCATTTCACCCCTGCTTATGACCCTTTTCCACCCTTTCGACCGTTGCAGTGTCCCCCTGGTCATGTGATCAAAATTCAGATGCTTGGCAGCTGGTTCATACTTAACGACCATTGCAGTGTCCTGGGGTCATGTGATCCCCGTTTGAGACCTTCTGACTAGCGAAATCCACGGGGAAGCCAGATTCGCTTAACAACCAGGTTGCTAACTCAACAACTGCGGTGATTCACTTAACAAATGCGGCAAGAAAAGTCGTAAAATCAGGCAAAACTCACTTAAGCGTTTCCCTTAGCGACAAAAATGTTGAGCTCCATATTGGTCGTAACTCGAGGACCACCTGTATGATAGGCCGTGCAATCAATAACTACCCCCTATTTTTCCTTGCCTTCTGCAGCAACACTACATGGACAGTCAGGTCCCTTGTCTGTTCGTGGCTTCCAAAACTGACCTGCCGGAAACATCCCTTCCTCACGGCTTCTCCCCAGCCGAGTTCTGCTACAAACACCGCTTGCAGCCCCCGTTTTACTTCTCCTGCATCAGCCAGGAACTTCTCAGCACCGCGATCTACACCAAACTAGCCACTGCCGCCACGTTTCCGTAAGTGTTTCTTCCTTGGTTCCAAACACAGACAAAACACATACCAAGAGATATAATTTATAATTAGAGGATCTCTGCAAATAGCAACAGCCCTTAGACTTATATACCGCTTTCACAGTGCTTTGACAGCCCTCCCTAAGCAGTTTATGGAGCCAGCCCTATTGCCCCCAATAATCTGGGTCCTCGTTTTACCCACCTCGGAAGGAGGGAAAGTCGAGTCAATCTTGAGCCGGTCAAGATCCTTGGTAGTACATCCTTGGTGGTTTAAAGCACCCTGTTATTAAGACCAGCTGCCTGCAATTACTGCAGGTTCGAATCTCGCCAGGCTCAAGGTTGACTCAGCCTTCCATCCTTTTTAAGGTAGGTAAATTGAGGACCCAGTTGTGGGGGCAATAAGCTGACTTTGTATAAATATACAAAAGAATGAAGGCTATTGCTTAGCGCATTGTAAGCCGCCCTGAGTCTCCGGAGAAGGGCGGCATATAAATCAAATAAAAAAAAAAAAAAAAAGATCGAACTGCTAGCAGTCAGCAGAATTAGCCTGCAATGCTGCATTCTAACCACTGCGCTACCAGGAAGAAGAATGAGAAAGGAAATTAAGAGAGGAAGGAGGAGACGAAAGGAAAGGGAAGGGAAGGGAAGGGAGGGAGGGAGGGATAGCAATAGCACTTAGATTTATATACCCCTTAATAGTGCTTTTACACCCCTCTCTAAGCAGTTTACAGTCAGCCTGTTGCCCCCAACAATCTGGATCCTCGTTTTACCAACCTTGGAAGGAGGGAAAGCAGAGTCAATCTTGAGCCAGTCAGGATCAAACTGCTGGCAGTTGGCAGAGTTAGCCTGCAATATTGCATTCTAACCATTGTACCACCATGGCTCTTACACGTTTTTCAAGGATGCATGGGCCTTGAATAACAGACTAACAGAGTTGGAAGGGACCTTGGAGGTCTTCTAGTCCAACCCCTTGCTCAGGCAGGAGACCCTATACCATTCCAGACAGATGGCTGTCCAGTCTCTTCTTATAAATGTCCAGTGTTGGAAGTCTGTAGAGAATCTCAGTCATCCAGGTCATGGTTTTCCCAAAAGTGCTTTTTTAGGAGGCAAGTGGACTTTCTTGTTTTGTTTTTTTTTCTTTTGAAGACATTTCGCTTCTCATCCCTGAAGCTTCTTCAGCTCTGACAGGACTTCCTGCCATTCCCCACTATCCCGTCAGAGCTGAAGAAGCTTCTGGGATGAGAAGCGAAACGTCTTCAAAGAAAAAAAGAAAGAAAGTCCAGTTGCCTCCTGAAAAAGCACCTTTGGGACAACTGTTACCTGGATGACTGAGAATCTCTACAGAATTCCACTGGCTGATGTGAATGCAAAGATCTCTCCCAGCTCCGTGTGTGTGTGTGTGTGTGTGTGTGTAGGGGTGGAGAATCCATTATTTATATTCCATTAAAACCAACAAAAGGCGCTAAGAGCTGCTTGATCTGAGCTCTTGTATTCAGAGCTTGCTCTCCCTCTGTTCCAGTTTTTAATCATTCTAATACATCCTGGAGAGAGACAGAGAGAGAGAGAGAGGAGGGGAGAGGGTCCATGTGTTAAAAGAGGAATTTATAGTGAAGGAGAAAAGGGGAGTGGGTGATTGATAACAGCCATTCCTTTAGAAGGATCTAATTTTATCTCGGTTCCTTTTAATGCTCAGCATATCCTATTGCGGAAACATATCACAGCTCGGGCAATACACCTGCCAGATGCCGAAAGAAAGCACGGTTGTCCATAAAGATGATACAGGCACTCCTCGACTTACGACCGCCATTAAGCCCGACCTTTCTGCTGCTAAGGGAGACATGGGTTAAGTGAATTTTGTCCCCGTTTACGACCTTCCTCGCCACCGTCGTTAAGTGAACCGCTGTCATTGTTAAGTGAATGACACTGTTGTTAAGTGAATCTGGCTTCCCCGTCGACTTCGCTTGTCCGAAAGTTACAATACAATGGGGGGGGGGGAAATCACATGATCCCGGGACACTGCAACTGTCATAATGTTCTGCCCAGCTACGGATCCCAAAGAACGCAGCACCCACAAACTCTAAACAAAGCTTATTTTACTCAAATAACTTAATCTTTATCATTCAAAGGCTGTTAATTAATTGTCTTAACAGCCTACCGGAATTCTAAGATAAGGTAATCACAGTCTTACTAGAGTTAGCAGAAAGCCCAGAAGCAATTTTGCAGACACGAAGGAGAGTGAACGAAAGTTGTTCTCTACAGCTTGCTGCAAGTGGCATTCCTCCTTAAATAGGCTAAGGGAGTGGCCAATTAGCCCCAGGCCTTACTCTTGAGGAGACCTCCTCCTGAGGAGCCACTCCTACCTTTTGGCAGCTCTGCGTGCCTGTGCATCGAAAAGAGGCTCCTCCTCTTCCTCCTCTTCACTTATGGGAGCTTCTGGAGGTTCTGAAGGCCCTGGCTGAATCCCTGCCTCTGGCACCACATCTTCTCCAGCCTCCTCACTGTCCGACTCGAGTGCCAGCTGCACAGGCTGCTGGCACAACACACCAGCCTCCTCTCTGTCAGAGTCAGCTACAATTTGCACAGGCCGCTGACGGGCCAGAACATATAAATATGAGTCAGTTGCCAAGCATCCGAATTTTGATCATTGACTGTGGAGATGCTGCAACGGTTGTTAAGTGTGAAAAACGGTCATAAGTCACTTTTCTCAGCGCCATTGTGACTTCGGACAGTCACTAAACAAATTGTAAGTCGAGGACTACCTAAAAGTCTGTAGAGATTCTCAGTCATCCAGGTCATGGTTCTCCCAAAGGTGCTTTTTCTGGAGGCAACTCGAAAAGAAAAGGGAATAAGACTGTAAATCCTTCCATTCCATCCCCCGCTATCCAGTCAGAACTGAAGAAGTTTTTTGGATGAGAAGTGAAACATCTTCACAAGAAAGTCCAGTTGCCTCCAGAACAACCGTGACTTGGATGACGGAGAATCTCTACAGACTTTGAGCTGTGCATTTTGGGATGAAAGCCCTTTGAATTTTATCTATTTATTTATTTATTATTAAATTTATATCCCGCCCTTCTCCCCGAAGGGACTCAGGGAGGTGAACAGCCGAGAATTAAAATAACATACAATATAAAAGTTAAAATAATTAAAAATAAATGGCATGAGAGTAGGAATGGACTTCCAGAGGAAAAATTGCAGACTACAGGAACCAGGAGCACTAACTCAAGTGAGCCTGAGGACACAGATAAACCTCCAAGCAGCCTCAGCGACCTTCTAAAAGGATGCAAATGACCAGCTGTCTGCAAGGAGAATAAATCCTTCCATTCCCCACCATATATCAGAGCTGAAAAAGCTTCCTCGAATGAGAAGCGAAACATCTTCAAAAAGAAGAACCAGGAAGTCCAGTTGCCTCCTGAAAAAAGCACCTTATGGGTCAAGGACTAACTGTACTGAATTTGAGGACTCCTCCTTCCCCCCCGACTTCTCTTTATTTTCATTCCTCTTTCCTCTTCTCCTTCCCCAACCCACTTTTCATTCCTTTGAGCACTGCCTCCGTGCATTTTTGTTCTGCCTTTTCCTCCCCGTCCCCTTGATTTAAAACCCACCCCTGCTTTCTGGAGCCGTATTCATTCTTCACCCGTTGCAGTTAAAGCTTCAGCAGAAGGCAGCGTCGGCTGCCGAGTGTGAAGTCCGTTCAGCGATTGGCGTCCACAGCAGCTGGCATCGCAAGGAGAGTGCATTTGTCTGCAAGCAATGCTAGGCTAAGGCACCGGGGCCCTTCTCCGAAAGAGAAGGAGGTGGTTTTCACCCCGATATAAGGTGTCAGTTGAAATTTTACAGGGAAGTGAAAGTTAGGAAGTAGATCAAGACAGTTTACCGTAGTGCTGGCTAGAAAGTGCTGGTTGGAAACCAGGTGACGGTAAATTCCAGGCATGCGTGGGCGTGAAAACTGGCTGGGTGACTTGTGGCCAATCACCAGGAGTCGTTTTCTAGTCCTGCCTTAAGCATGAAAGCCAGCTGAATGATTTTGGGCCAATCACCAGGAGATGGTGAGTTCTAGTCCCGCCTTAGCTTTAAAAGCCACCTGGGTGACTTTGGGCCAATCACCAGGAGACTGGGAGTTCTAGTCCCACCTTAGGCATGAAAGCCAGCTGAGTGATTTTGGGCCAATCACCAGGAGATGATGAGTTCTAGTCCTGCCTTAGGCATGAAAGCCAGCTGAGTGATTTTGGGCCAATCACCAGGAGATGGTGAGTTCTAGTCCCGCCTTAGCTTAAAAAGCCAGCTGGGTGATTTTGGACCAATTACCAGGAGATGGTGAGTTCTAGTCCTGCCTTAAGCATGAAAGCCAGCTGAGTGATTTTGGGCCAATCACCAGGAGATGGTGAGTTCTAGTCCCGCCTTAGGCATGAAAGCCAGCTGAGTGATTTTGGGCCAATCACCAGGAGATGGTGAGTTCTAGTCCCGCCTTAGCTTAAAAAGCCAGCTGGGTGATTTTGGACCAATCACCAGGAGATGGTGAGTTCTAGTCCTGCCTTAAGCATGAAAGCCATTTGGGTGATTTTGGGCCAATCACCAGGAGATGGTGAGTTCTAGTCCCGCCTTAGGCATGAAAGCCAGCTGGGTGATTTTGGGCCAATCACCAGGAGATGATGAGTTCTAGTCCTGCCTTAAGCATGAAAGCCAGCTGAGTGATTTTGGGCCAATCACCAGGAGATGATGAGTTCTAGTCCCGCCTTAGCTTAAAAAGCCAGCTGGGTGATTTTGGACCAATTACCAGGAGGCTGTGAGTTCTAGTCCTGCCTTAAGCATGAAAGCCAGCTGAATGATTTTGGGCCAATCGCCAGGAGATGATGAGTTCTACTCCCATCTTAGCCTTGAAAACTGGCTGGGTCACTTGGGACCAGTCCCTCTCTCTCAGCCCAAGCCAACTTATAAGGTTGTTGTGAGCAAAATAGGAGTGTTAGGTACGGTATGTTTGCCACCTTGAGTGGAGGAAGAGGAGAAATTTATTATTTCCGTCAGGCTTGAGTGGATAACATTCTAACTCTCGGATTGTTTGTAGGACAACAGAGGGCTCCGACTGCCCAAAATTAATCAATTGCTCTCCAGATTTCAGTGGCCTGAGCTTTAGAAATTTGGGAGGCTGCCAAAAAGAGACTCAAAGGCCAAGAGAGGAAGAAAAAATGCTCCTCTTTTTTTTTTTCTTCTTCAATAACCACAGAGAACGTCAAGAGTTGGGTAGATGCCTGCAGACATTGGGAACATCTTGCCGTTTGAGGGGAAGATTTTGAGCTTTGAGGGAGAACTTCTGACCTCTCTGCAGAGAGCCTTAATTTGCATTTATTGGACAGCCTTCCCCCAGCTAAACAACTCAAACACTTCATCTGACCAGCCTGAGCAGATTGCAGATTCCTCCCCCACATCCCTGTTTGCTTTTTGATCCAGAATCTCAGGGATCACGTCTTGTCTCCTTGGGTCGGTGCTTGAGATGGGAAGCATCGCTCTCCTCCACACCCTGTTTTGACCCAGCCTTAGCAGAAACAAGAAACAGACTCCTTGCCCCGAAAAACCCCTCTTTATTTATCTCCTGTGAATTCATGGCATTCACCCCACCGAACAGTCCAATCCTTCAAAGAGTTAACTGCAGTAACAGGTCTTATCACTTCCTTGAGATAATTGCCAGGCTGGGAGCTTCCAGCCGCAAAGCTGTAAATAAAGTTCTGGCAAGCGGTTCCTGTGGCATGAACTGAAATCCGAACAGTTGTCTCCTACAACCACCACTCCCTTTCCTTCTATTAATTTCCCCCTCCAGGGAGGGACTATTCAGCATCCACCTGTGCTTTGCTTCCCGAGTCGACTCCTTGTCCTCCGTTGTTCTCCTCTCCTAACAGCTCTGCGCATACACGCGTCTAGAACAGGCCCCAGCTCAGGGATGAAATCCACTTACCTTCCTTACCGGTTTGGAAGTGCACGCATGCACCCACCTCCCCAGCGCATCATGTGCGTGCGCACACCTGTGCATGGGCAAAACCTTCTGCACATGCGCAGGAGGTAAAAAAAAATTACTTCCTGGTTAAAACCAGGAAGTAACGACACCCGAGCAGCAATCGCTCCCGGATTGCCGAACCACAGGGAAAAATCGCTACCGGATCAGGTGATCTGGTCCAATCCGGGAGCATTTCACCCCTGCCCCAGCTGTTCTTCCGCCTCACTCATCTCAGCCTCCAAAGGCAGCTGCCTCTCCAGTGGAAGAGGGAAATGTTGGACGGCCCTGGCTCTATCTCTGCGTCCAACACAGAGCATCCATCAGAGCCTTCCCCAAACTCTGGAACTGGCCCAAGTTCCTCCCCAACCTCCTCATTGTCTGAATCTGCCGCCAGCTCCACTGGCAGCTGGCAAAGCCACAACAGACCCTGAAGAGAGGAAGAGCATTGCTGGGAGACCAAACAGCAGTGCCATCCAGGGAAGTAACAGCCAGCAACACAAAAAAAAAGCCGCCCTTTCCCTTTATTTCACCTGAATAAAATGTCCTTTTATTGAGAGGATACACCGCCTCCGGATACGAATGCTCTATTTAGCTCTCATTTTCCATTTGCATCCAATGGACCAGTCTTCCTTCTCCTCCTCAGCGTTTTCTCCATTCTTCTTTTAAGGCCCCGGGAGCCGATGGCCATTAAGCCTCCTATAACGGGGCACTTGACCTGAATAGTTGTAAAGCTTGGAAGGGAATGAAATTCTGGAAGAGCCGTTGGAGACAAAGATCTGCCAGGAGCCGCCGCTTTTCCATTGATGCGATGGATCTTCTTACCAAGGGCAAGTGGGTGACATCTTTACCGCTAAGTTGGTCGCCTCTAAGGTGCTTTTTTCTTCTTCTTCTTCAAAAGGCAACTGAACTATTTTTCCTTGAGGAAGAAAATGTTTCTCTTCTCATCCCAGAAGCTTCGTCAGCTTTGATGGTTGGGGGAATGGTGGGATAGGTTCTGCTAGGAAGGATTGTGTTGTTGTTTTTACAGTCATCTGGTTGTTAGTACTTTCTCTGAGAGCTGCCGAGGCCACTTTGGGGGGGGCTTATTTTATGCTCTCAGGGTCACCTGAATCAGGGTGCAATTGATGTGGAATCTTCTTGGAGGTTCTTGGACGTTCCCCTCGCACATATGCTAGTCATTCCCGACTCTAGGGGGCGGTGCTCATCTCTGTTTCAAAGCCGGAGAGCCAGCGCTGTCCGAAGACGTCTCCGTGGTCCTGTGGCCAGCATGACTCAACGCCAAAGGTGCACGGAACGCTATTACCTTCCCACCAAAGGTGGCCCCTATTTTTCTCCTTGCATTTTTTTTTACGTGCTTTTGAGCTGCTAGGTTGGCAGAAGCTGGGACAAGCAATGGGAGCTCACCCCGTTAACGTGGCACTCGGGATTCGAACCGCCGAATTGCTGACCTTTCGATCGACAAGCTCAGCGTCTCAGCCGCTGAGCCACCATGTCCCTTATGTGTCCCTTACAGGTCTCTAGAGGGATGTCAATTTTGGAGGCTCGGGGTATCCTCTGAATTGGAACCCCTTGGTTCCAAATGCTGGTTGTAGGAAGCAATGGTGGGAAAGGAGGAGACGTCCGCCTTCTGCTTCTGTTGACCTTATTGGCTTTCCTCGGTCACTTTGATTAAAAAAAAAAATATTCTTAACAGTTTTGTGTTCAAAAATCCCACAACACTAACATATGCCTGAGGTTTGTTCAGATGTTCACCTTCAGACCAGATGTTCTCTGTTGAAATAAGGAGGAGTGGCAAAGCATGTGATGGATCAAGGTCTTGACAAGCTCCTTAATTGTATTTAGTATTTAGTATTTATTTGTCAAACATGTACGAGATAACAGGAATAAGTATAAACACGATTATGAATATAGGAAATGGGTACAAATAAATGGGGACAGTAGGACAGGGACGGTGCTCTTATGCACATCCCTTACAGACCTCTTAGGAATGGGGTGAGGTCAACAGTAGACAGTCTAAGGTTAAAGTTTTGGGGGTTTGGGGATGTAACCACAGAGTCAGGTAGTGCATTCCAGGCATTGACCACTCTGTTGCTGAAGTCGTATTTTCTGCAATCGAGTTTGGAGCGGTTTACCTTGAGTTTGTATCTATTGTGTGCTCGTGTATTATTGCGGTTGAAGCTGAAGTAGTCATTGACAGGTAGGACATTGTAGCAGATAATTTTATGTACTATGCTTAGGTCAGACTGAAGTCGGCATAGTTCTAGGTTTTCCAAACCCATAATTTCAAGCCTGGTGGCATAAGGGATTCTGTTGTGAGCAGAGGAGTGGAGGACTCTTCTCATGAAATACCTCTGGACTAGCTCAGTTGTATTAACATTCAATATACAGTGTGGATTCCAGGCAGACGAGCTGTATTCGAGAATTGGTCTGGCAAAGGTTTTGTATGCCTTAGTTAGCAGTACAATTTTACCAGAGAAGAAGCTTCGCAAAATTATGACCTTGGATGTCCAATGCACAGGATGACACAGGGAGGTATAAATGCCCTCAGATGTCCTCAAGCCACCTCTGCTAACTTTCTCTTGCAGGCACCTGAACGACATCGAGCTGGGCGCGTCGTCCTTCTGGATCCGGGTTGCCTTGGGAGCTGCAGTGGCCACCATTGTGGGAATCAGCCTCTACAAGGCGATGATGAAGAACAAGTAGGGGAATGGCGAGGAACATGGGAATCTCTCTTTTCTTTTCCTCCCCTGCTTTAGGTTGCTTTTTCCACCCGTCTCCTGGAGAAACCAACTTCATTTGCTCCAAGCACTTTGCAAAACCCAAAAGAAGCGTGCAAGGGGAAGGCAGAAGGTCATCTGAAGGACATTCCACACCCCCTTTGGGCTTCTCCCGGAGGGACGGGTGGGCGGGCGTTGCAGATGGGGGTGGATGACCCACCGTTGCACCAGCATCATCAGAAATCATCGCAGTCACCCAACTGGCAAGGGCAAGATTTTTGCATTTTTTTTCTGACTCAGGGAATGTCCCTCAATCCTGCAAGCCATAGCATCAGATATCTTCTGGGCCACTCAGCTCCTACGAATATCTTCGCTTTCCCCCGTCGTTTTTGTTTCGTTTTTTTTTTAAAAAAACCCTTTTGGCTGTTCCTCAGAAGCTGAAGCTCCTGCAAGTCTGGTAGATGTTTTTAAATAGACGTGTCTCAGAGAGAGCTGAGACTGTCGGCCCTCTGCGGTGCCTTCTGCTTGGGCCTTCTGCTTCATCTCCTGCTTGGAAAGGATGTCTTTTGAGCTCCTCTGGTGTGGGGGGGCGGGAAGGGGGAAACTATGAAGGTTTCTGGGACTTCCTGAACCCTTTTTCTACGAAGGAATTTCACCCAGGTCCTCTTCTTGAGGAGGTGGGGTGACTCGAACACAGAACAAAGGCACCTCCATGGATGTGGAAGGATGGAGAACGGAATTTGAACTTCTCGCTCTTTGATAACAGACATGAATCTTGTTGCACGCCCATGGTAAGGTTTCGAGGGCAACTCGGAAACTTCTGTCTGTCAGGCCTGGAAGCCATCTTGGTCGTACACTGTCTGTCACTCACACTCAGATTTTGAGGGGTCATGGGTGTTCCAGCAACTGGGGAGCCAGTTTGAGGAAGCAACTAGGACCTCTCTCTCCCTCTACAAGTATTCTTGGATGCATTATAGGAGCATCCCCTTTTCATGCATTCAGCAATTCAGCGCACGGAAAAGTCATAGGTGATGGGGTGTGGTTTTTGTTTTTTTTTTCCTGGACACTCCTTTTCCCCCACGCTCCAGGAAACCGATAATCTGCACATTCTTCCTATGTTTTAGATTCTTGCTTGGGGATAGGAGGGGAGGGGGAGGGGTATCAAACAGGCACCCCCCCTTCTGCCGATGGATCTCTGCCATGGTGGTCTAGCAGGCTAGGGCTCCCTCTCAGAGCCATCTTCCAAACTTTTTAACTCTGGCTCCAAAATTGAGCTGAATAAATAACGTTCACAATTCAAAAGAGGAAGGGAAGGGGGGGGGGGAAAACCCAGATTTTATGCCGTCCCATAAACATCTCCGAAAGGAACAATAAAAAGGAAAGTTTGGGGGTTTTTTCTTTTTTTTTTTTTTTTTTTTTTAATTTCTTGCCCTTTTCTTGATTGGTCTTGTTTTTCTTTTTTTCTTTTTTTTGGGGGGGGTGGGGTTTTCTTCAGAATTCCTACTCTTCCTCTGCACTCGGAGCCTCCCCCATCCTCAGCCACAACGTTGTTGGGTTTAGGATGGCAACCCTACTTCGTTGGGGCTGTTGTTAAGTCCAGGTTCCCCCACATTAGATCCCTTCTGCAGGCCAGAAATGCAGGGGGCCAGCAAAAAAAGAATTTCCCAGTCTTTCCAGCTTTTTGGGCGGGAGGGCGGGGGGAATGATACGCGTGAGTGTCGGGGAAGTGCTCACGTGCCACTTTTGTGGCCCGGTTCCAAATGGTTGAAGGGCTGCTAGTGGGCCCCAGGGGTTAAGGAGCCACGTATTAAAGGATGCAGCACACCACATGTGGAAAAGCAGAAGGCAGCCACGTCCATCCTTGTGACCTCTGCCACCAAGTCTACGAACTGAAATCAAAAACTCCGCACAACCTAATTGCATCTCTTATACCCCCTAGCTCAGAGATGGCTAACCTTTTTGCCATTGTGTGCCAAAAGTGAGGGGGGGAGTGTGTGGGGGGTCACTTGTGCGTGTGCCCACACTCACAATTCTGTGTGCCCTGCCCCCCACGCATGCACGCGTGACCCCCACCACCACTTTTGGCATGTGATGGCAAGGTACGTCTGCTTTTCGCTCTTCCCAGGCTCCAGAACCTTTTCTAGGAGGCTGGGGAGGGCGAAAATAGCCTTCCCCACCCCCTCCGGAGGCCAGAAACAGCCTTTTTCCTGACTTCCGGTGGGCCCAAAAGGGCCGAAAATCAGCTGGCCAGCACGCGCATGCACACCAGAGCTGAGCTTGTGTGCCCACCGATATGGCTCCGCGTGCCACAGGTTCGCCATCGCAGCCCTAGCTTAATATTCACATATTTCCTTATAGGAAGGTTTTAAGATAAATTAATGTACTTTAAGAGAAGCTCTGTTATTGGTCCCTCAATCAATGCCAAGGAAATAACCCCGACAGTATTTGGCTTCCATTCTTGACCTTGCGTTTTTCTACGTAACTTTAAACCAGTATCTTCCCCGCCACTGTTTTTAGACCCCCCCCCCCCCCCCCCCCCATCTCTCTAAAGGGATCATTAATTCAGGCAGTTGCATCAAGGGCTTGAGATAAGGATGCAATCAAAATATGCTTTGGGAATTCTGGTTTGCATTTATTGTCCATTTCATTTCTTCTTTTTTTATTTTTTACTTTTTCATATAACCAGCAGCTGGAAAGTCTGAGCCAGGGGTGTCCAATCTTGGCCAGTGGAAGACTTGTGGACTCCCAGAATTCTCCAGCCAGCACCATTGGATGGGGAATTCTGGAAGTGAAAGCCAACAAGTCAATTCTGGGAGTTAAAAAAAGTCCAATCTTGGCCAGTTGAAGATTTGTGGACTTCAACTCCCAGTAGTGCTGAATGGGGAATTCTGGAAGTTAAAAGTCCACAAGCCAATTCTGGGAGTTAACGTCTAACAAGTCTTCAACTGACCAAGGTTGGACTTTTAACTCCCAGAATTGTGGACTTTTAACTTCCAGGAGTCCCCGGCCAAACACCGCAAGCCCACAAGTCTCCAACCTGCCAAAGGTTGGACGCCCCCTGGTTAAAAAACCATTGTTCACCCAGTACGTCATGTAATCAATGGAGAGAAAAAATTGGGGAAACACGCAGAACTGGGAGACCTCCTGTTGGGGTTGTTACTAGCCTCCAAGCTTGCTTTTGAAAAAAGACCTAATCGGGGTCTTTTCCTTCTGATGAGCAGAAATAGGAACAGGTAGGGATCATGAAACAAGGATTTAAATATTCATCGTCAATACCGACCAAGGAGGGGACTTGCCACACATGGAAAGCTAGCATATTAGGAGAGAGTTTGGAGCTTCCTCTGCAGAGCATTTTAAAAAAAAAAGTTGGGGATTCCTCAAATGTTTATCCCATGCACTAGGAAGTGGGCCCGGCTTAGTCCCTGGGATCTCAGCGGTAACATTTTGCCAGTTTCAAAAATGGACGTTAACCCCTTGCTGAACAGAGTGGCCATAGCCCAAATTGCACTGCATGTGGAATATTTCAGATCCTTTCGGGACATTTCAGGTATCCCCATCACTTTGCACCCAAGAGATGAGCTCCAGGTAAATTTTAATATCTCCATCTCTTCTTCCTTCTCCTCCTCCTCCACCGCATTTGTGGATTCACTACCTGGAGCAAATTCACAGCAGCCAGCTTTGCAGGGAGAGCCTCTTTTTTCACCGAGTGATGGGGCCGTTCTCCCCTCCCCCCTGGGGGAGGGGGTCGAGTTTTCCTCTTAACCCACATCTCCGTTCAGTCGTACCGAGTTTCAATTCAACTGCTGTGAACCTGAATAAATTTTTATGCACCAGATGGTTGCAGACAAAAGACAGATCCTCGTGTCTGCTTTCTTGGGGGCTTTGAGGTGGGGTGGGGTGGGGGGAAAAGACGAGGAGAGGGCTGTCTCAGGATATTTACAGCTTTCATAAACAACGCACATCTGTACGGGCCAGCCTGCTGTTATATGTCTAAAATTGAGCGTGGATTCCGTAATTCAAATTCAAATCCCGTTAACGATTAAAAATAGAAAACTCCCCCAAAAAATGGACTGTTTAGCTTTCTTGAAAGGAAGGCAACCTTTTTCAAGAGACTCATATAGGCCAATCAAGGATTTTTAAGACAAAGCAGACTGACCACCGAGCCACGATAAAGTAAAATTGAGAGATTTTATAATGTTCCTAAGTTTTAAAAGACTTGGGGTTTTCATTTGGATCAAAAAGTGCTTGTAAAAGCACATATGCCAAAACTTTAAAACAGCATCTAAAATTAAATGACTGTACACAGATTAAAAAAACGTTGAGTTGCTTTAGGTCTGATGAATGCATAAATGGCTTTACAGTGGGAAAGATTCAAAGCAGGAAGGAAAGCAGAGAAAAATCAAGCAGAGGTAGCCAATTTTTCTTAGAGCTACCTTGAAAAAAAAAGATTTATAAATACGCAAACTCACTTTAGAGCAAGGGTGTGCAACCTTGACAACTTAAATACCTGTAGACTTCAACTCCTAGAATTCCCTAGCCAACCACGCTGGATGGAGAATTCTGGGGAGTTTGATGTCCATGGATCTTAAAGTTGCCAAGGTTGCTTTAGACATTGTTCTTAGGCTATGGATTGTTGAACCCAAGACATGTGACATAAGATATAATGATCTGGTATGCTGTGCTAAATCACGCTATGAATTCCACAGCATTTACATCCCGAATAGAATAGAATAGAATAGAATAGAATAGAATAGAATAGGAATAGAAATGAATAGAATAGAATAGAATATTGGAATGAATGGAATGGAATAGAACAGACAGAATAGAATAGAATAGAAAGAATAGAATAGAATATTGGAATGAAGAATAGAATATTGGAATGAAGAATAGAATAGAATATTGGAATGAAGAATGGAATGGAATAGAATATTGGAATGAAGAATAGAATATTGGAATGAACGGAATAGAATAGAATATTGGAATGAAGAATGGAATGGAATAGAATAGAATAGAATATTGGAATGAAGAACAGAATAGAATATTGGAATAAAGTATAGAATATTGGAATGAATGGAATAGAATAGAATATTGGAATGAATGGAATGGAATAAAATATTGGAATGAAGAATAGAATAGAACAGAATAAAATATTGAAATGAAGAATAGAATAGAACAGAATAAAATATTGGAATGAAGAATGGAATAGAATAGAATATTGGAATGAATGGAATGGAATATTGGAATGAAGAATAGAATAGAATAGAATAGAATAGAATAGAATAGAATAGAATAGAATATTGGAATGAATAGAATGGAATGGAATGGGAATGGAATGGAATGGAATAGAACAGAACAGAACAGAATAGAATAGAATAGAATAGAAAGAATAGAATAGAATATTGGAATGAAGAATGGAATGGAATAGAATATTGGAATGAAGAATAGAATATTGGAATGAAGAATAGAATAGAATATTGGAATGAAGAATGGAATGGAATAGAATATTGGAATGAAGAATAGAATATTGGAATGAACGGAATAGAATAGAATATTGGAATGAAGAATGGAATGGAATAGAATAGAATATTGGAATGAAGAACAATAGAATATTGGAATAAAGAATATAATATTGGAATGAATGGAATCGAATAGAATATTGGAATGAATGGAATGGAATAAAATATTGGAATGAAGAATAGAATAGAACAGAATAAAATATTGGAATGAAGAATGGAATAGAATAGAATATTGGGATGAATGGAATGGAATGGAATGGAATATTGGAATGAAGAATAGAATAGAATAGAATATTGGAATGAAGAATAGAAATAGAATAGAATAGAACAGGATAGGATAGGACAGGATACAATACAATACAATACAATACAATACAATACAATACAATACAATACAATACAATACAATACAAACAATACAATACAATACAATACAATACAATACAATACAATACAATACTTTATTGCCCAAATGTGATTGGACACAAAAGAAATTTGTCTTTGGTGCATGTGCTCTCAGTGTACATAAAGAAAAAATAAAGTATATTCGTCAAGAATCAAAAGATACAACACTTAGTGATAGTCGTAAGATACTAATAAGCAATCAAATCATAATAGGAAACAATATAAATCATATAAGTTGAAAAGATACAAGCAACATGGATAGAGCCATAAGTGGGAAGAGATAGGTACAAGTAAGGATGAGGAGAAGAATAGTAATACAGTCTTAGTAGTTAATTTGACAGTGTTGAGGGAATTAGTTGTTTAGCAGAGTGATGGCATTCGGGAAAAAACACTCCTTGTGTCTAGTTGTTCTGGTGTGCAGTGCTCTATAGCGTCGTTTTGACAGTTGAAGTTGAAACAATTTATGTCCAGG